CTGAGTATTTTGGTATTGAGTATAAAAAAAGTCCGTACAAAACCAAAATCTCAGTTATCTTACTTTTGATACACGGTGTTGAGAATTGTGATTACCGTTTTGACGTTTTATAAAATATATATTTGAGTGACACAAAATTTCAGGTAAGAAATATTATATTAGGATAGATAGAACAAAAACTATGAACAAATTTTAACTTTGCACACAAAAAAATGAGGTTTATATACACATTGATTATTTTTTGTTTCAAATTTATACATAATAAAATTATACATACACATTCATTATTTTTTGTTTCAAAATATTTAGAATGGTTCGAATAAAATTCCAGAAGGAAAGAAATTTGAAAATTTCTTTAAAAAAGTTAATACCCAATTTTTGTATGCTTATTTTTTTTAACTGTCTTTTAACCTGATAAATTTTACAAAACTATAAACAAATAAAAAGAATTATTTATATGTATAGTTTGAATTGTTAGTTATTACTTTTGATTCAATATTTACAATAAAGATTATGTAAATTTAATTCTAAAAGCTGAGGCTACTCTACCATTACGTACCTATGCAAAATTTCTTTACACAAACTAATGAAACATATTTGGACAACCAGAAAACATCCATCCGGCCAGCAAGTTTAAATGTTTTGCACTATTTTTAATGAGAATAGTAAACGGTGCAATAACCATAATTGTCATCCTTCATATGTGGCTGCTCAGGGCGAGGGTAAAGAAATATACATCCTATAATGTGCTACGTGCAAGCAAATGAAGAACTATTTACAGCTATGGTGTCCTTATGTCTTTTTTATTTAACTCTTCCGTTTACTTTTTAAAATCTATATTTTCTTAATATACGTCTCATATCTATAAATATTCATTTATGTAGTATATTTCTACTATCAAAATATTCCATTTATATTAATAATGAATATTATTTTTAGGCGAAGAATTATATTATTATCTCTATAGATGTATTTACATAGGAGAAACATTTTGTGCTTTCAGACCTTATATAGTAAGGTCTTATTATATTTACCATTCTACAATATATATTTTATACAAAATATAATAGGCACTTAAGTTTTTTACGGTTATTAAGTAAACAATTAATTAACGTCGATATTACAAGTAAAATGAAAAACATCACGACAACAACAACAAGCACTGCGAGCTTGTTGTTGATGTCGAACAAGTTGAGTGACGCACGACTTGATTAAAGTAGGGTTTCCCAACTTTTCTTTTATTGAGCTTCTCCATAATATTTTTATGACGCCTTCGAATTTTGTCATTACAAAAAAAAAACACATTACCTATTTATTTTTATTCTAAATTATAAAACAATAAACTCCAAACTAATTTAAGCCATGTTATATTAATATATAATAGAGACTGAATGGCTGAACTCAATGAAAAACTTGAGTTGCATGCTCTCGAAATTGCAAATGTATTATGATGCCCTCTTTGATATTGCTCTATGCCTTCTCTGGGGGCACGTAAACCGGGGCAAATCTATAAAGTTCTGTATTAAAGGAACGCGGTGTTATCATTGATTTGGTAGGAGCTTCACTTCTACCTCGTTCTGTAAAATAATAATATCATAAGAACGATAAACGTGTTACGAAACTAATTAAACTAATATTAACCTATTTCTACTCGACGACTATGTGCCGGCTGCACTATTATGCATATTGTTATTGTTCAGCAGTGTCAATTGGTTTACCCCTTACATATAGATAGCTAATAACGCGCGACGCTTATATAGGAGTGAATTGACCGACCTTTTACATACATATACCAGTTACAGCCCGCAAGGATTGTCTGAGAAGCTGCGTAAAATTTCCAAAATTACTGGCATTGCTGTGTATATTAAATGTATCTAAAATAGTCTTAATATAGTATAAAACAAAGTCGCTTCTGGTCTGTCTGTCCTTATGTATGTTTAGATCTTTAAAACTATGCAACGGATTTTGATGCTGATTTTTTAATAGATAGAGTGATTCAAGAGGACGGTTTTTATGTATAATACATGTATAGTATAGTAGAAAAACATTAATAATTTTATCGTACTTATAAGTACTTTACGATAAATTAAAAAAATATATATTTGAAATTGTATTCTGTAGTATATTTAGTATCAGTAATGCACCTGTACGCAGCTGGGACAGGTCGCTAGTAAAACATAAGGAATCTTATACCACTGATAAATTTTATATCTTACTCTATATCCTAGTTTTAAATAAATTTTAGTAATAATAAATATTTCTATAAATATTTAAAAGCCAAAATTGTTTTAGTAACGAGTTTAGCGATTGACGTAAGAGCGTTCGCTAGATTAATCAATGAATACTCAAAGAAAAAAAATCAGCGAATTAAACGAAAGCTTTTTTAACGGCAACAATTAACTCTAGAAAATTTTCATTTTCTATAATGTGCCTCAAATATAATATTTATTTAGAAAGATAATACTCAATAACAAAGGGGAAAGGGATTGTTAGTAATGGGGTCAAATAGCCCCATTACTAGCAATATACCCTGTCAGGTCGACCTCCACGTGGATCCCCCTGAAAACCATCGTGACTAATTCTAGTTGAATTCGTCAGTATGGGCTAACTGACTTGCTTTCATCCTCATCAGTCATCTATCACTGGTGCCCCGCCAGTGTATACCGATAGCACAGGCGGGGTTACCATACCATTATCACCTATTAAAAAAAAATAGTCAATAACAATAGTTCCGCAATATTCTATATTGACAAAGCAAACAATTTTTTTCACCTTATTGTTACCGTGTATGCATAATAATAATCCTTAATTTTAGTATCTGTTATTACGAAACAACCTACTCATAATTTTAATACACCTGTTAAGAACTATAAATTTGTATCAGCTTCTGAGAGTAGAAGTAGGGCTTGATCGAATGGTACCAAAATGCGACAAAATCCAAGAGAAGCATCGACATCTAAGGGAGGTGCCATAAGAACAGTAAGTGATCGCATCACATTTGAGGAATGGAATGAACAATGTAAAGTGATCTTCGATGATATTTTTTATCGTCATTGGGGGGGCCACATTTAAAACTTTCCCAGGTTACACTAAAACCCATGACACATGTCCATTAATTGAGATAAAAAATAGCTCACATCCTTCTCCATTCAATATTAGTATGTGCTAAAATTCATAGCGAGTCGTTAAACAGCTAAAAATGTACAACAAAACTCAATTTCACATTTATAACATCAGTAAAGATAGTACTACAACTGAGTCAATAAAGGGGGATAGGACTTTATAAACCACCATTAATTACTTAAACTTTATTAATTATAACTGGTTATTAATTATTGCTACATATATTTGACTAATTAGGTATATGACTAAAATCTTCCTAATTCACAAATGTAGAGTTAACATTTCAAAAATATTTTCATATATACAAAACATGTTTTTATCCACAATTTGTTGTCTAAATTAAAATTTAGCCTATATCTTTATCCATCCTAAATACTATGCATAGTACCCAAATTTTGTAAAAATCATTATAAACTGGTAAGTCACTAAGAGATAACTAATATATAAACATTCATATTCACATTAAAATATTAGAAAGGATGTCATACAGTGCTAATCATTATCGCTATTAGGATTTGTAATGTTGTATTAATATGGATAAAAGATTTTTTATATCTATGTAGCCAGTAATTAAAAAGAAGTGAAAGATTGGTTAAGTAGTTCTTGAGTTATTATGTTACAAACAATCAAATCTTTTCTCTTTATAAGTATAGATAAAGATATAATTTTTTTCTGAGAGGATATTGTTAGTAATTGAGACTAGCAATCCCTTTCCTAGTAATATACCAGATCAGATTAACCTCACAAGGTTTCTCCTTATTACAATCATGATTAATTCCTGGCGAATTCATCATGATAAGCTGATTGGCTTTATTCACTGGCCTGTCCTGTCATCACACAGGTACTTATAGTGTGGGCAGTGTTTTCATTCCATATTCATTTTATAAAAAAATTCCTTTTTTGACTCATAAGGTACTATCACTTTTTATATTAAAATTGGTTACCACTATAAATACTCGTGTTCAGGAGTCATGCATCACAAGTATGTAATTGTCATGTTAATATCTCAATTGTCCAACTTTTTACTAATTTTATACTATCAATATATTAAAAGTTTGTAAAGATGCTTAAATATTTTATTTTCAAGCACTTTTATTAATAAATGTTATAGATATATATATAATACTAACTCGCTATATTCATCAAAATGTCCAACCTCTCTTAAACCTATTTTAACTACAGAAGTGTTTTATTTTGTTCTTTTGGCTTATAAGAGTATTTATAAGAGTATAACTGACCCTGTTTTCTCAATTTGAAACACAAAACAGTGTAATGGTTAAAATAGGTTTGTAGCGCATTTTAGTTTTTATGAATAAGGAGGTAAAAAATATAGAAAGAACCTGAATTGAACCTAGTTTAGATTTTAGATTAACACCTTTATTTATATATACACAATTATATTAAAAATTGTAACATTAATTTGTCAGTGTTAAATAAAAATTATTATTGACAAATCTAGCTGAACAGACTGTACAATTTGGGATGCAGATGGTCTATGTTCTACATTAATACATATCACACTTTTATCACAATAAGCACGAGCAAAGCGGATTGTTAAAATTCGTAAATAAAATATAAACCTTGTGTATTTCTGAAACGACATATATACATTTAAAAAAAATACTGAAGCTTATGTGTTTATTTTACCAAGCCAGTGATAATATTTAATAAATAATTATATATTTATTAACAACAAAATTATACATATTTTTTTTATAAAATACAGGCATATATTTAGCAGACTCTATATATAATTATTATTAATTTTGATCCAGTTAACTAGTTTAATTAACTGCAACAGATTAAATGACTAGACAATAATGAATAGAGAATGTTTAATAATTATTATAATATTTTTAAAATTTATGATAACTTACGCGGGATTTGTTCATTCGTCCTGCAGAATCAGCTCAAATTGTTTATCTTAGTTTATGATAATATTACACTTAAATATTATTTTTATTTTAAAATATGTTATTATATATTTTCGTTACTTAACGTTTATATAAATACGATTAATGTATTTTATTTCGGTAGAACCAAAACGTAATACATACAATAAGAGGACACCAACACAGAAACACTGAACAAAACAACCGGTTCGTTCAAAGAATGACGAATGAACGAGCACCAAAACAAGAATATTGTATATAACAACTTCGTTTTAAGAGACGGCAGTACGTACATCATAGGTACGTAGCTAAGAAGAGGCCGCAAAGTATTGTTAACCACATAAAACGTAGACAAATTTTTATGTTGGTCTCCCTGTTTCATATCTTTCATATATGGATGAATAGACTTATCGATATCCATTCATAAAAAAACTAGTGATGGTTTCTATTGATATATGGGTTTAATGCAACATGCAAAATTTGTAATAAAAAAGTTTAATTAAATTCAACTTCCACCTCTTCTTAAATACGCATCAGCGTCCGTACTTTATATGGACATCTCTAGTTTATACTCGGCTTGCGACAGTTGGAACATCATTGCTGAAATTACGTTTTTGTATGAGACTGTAATAGGCGCCATGACAATTAGAGTAATGGCGCCATTTCATAAATAGCGTTACATTTATAAATACTTACATTTTTTTAAATATTATAATAATTAATATAAGACATTACGTAGTAATAAATAAAAATATATTTTTTTTCATTTAAAAAAAATATATTTATTTCGTAACAAAATTGATACAGTATTAAGATAGTTTTTATGACCTTCTAGTAAGTGTTATTACCTGTATCAGAAGGTCACGCTCTTCCATAAGCATGAAAATACAAATCATAGTACCATAAAATTAAGACATAAACATTATCTAGTATTAGTAATAAGTATATCTAAATGCATGCTTGCGTGTGTGTGCATGCATATATGTGTGTGTGTGTGTGTGTGTGTTTGTGTATGCGTGCGTGTAAGTGTACGTGTGCGTGCACGTGCGCGAACATGTACTAATTGTTGTGTAGTGTGTATGTTGTATGAGTGTTTGTGTAGTTCTGCGTAAATCTGTATTATTAAGATTTTTATTAAAAAGTAACTCATCATATTTTTAATATATATTTGAAAATTTCTTTTGTTTCGTGGTAACTTCAAGTTTTTAACCATTTAGTAATTACACCTTTACAATCAAATTTGTTTAGCTTATATATATTTAATTTATTATTTAATAACTTGTATAAATGTGTTAATTGTTTACTATATTGTCGCTTAGCAAAACTTGTCCTAATGTTATTTTCCATCAGAGTTATGTTTTTCCTAATTTATTTAGTGTGATATAATATAAAGAAGAAACATTTTTAGCTCAGTATTCAGTGTATTTGAATCGATGAGTGAACGATAATTAAAATTAATATAGTTAAGAATAATTAAAATTTGCATGTCTTATTTATTTGATTAATTTACCCTTCATATAATATTACCAATTTTGATGATTCTGTAAAATTGACACATCCATTACAGATATCGATATTTTGGATGGAGGCATATATAAATTGTGGTGCAACACTATGAATATTCATTTGTCTTTTATTTTACAATTTTTATTATGTTGTTACTTCGAAAGGGTAACATGTATTTTAATTTGCAGGTTCCGTAGATTTAAGACCGATGCCAACTCTTGTAACGTAGGGATTACTTGTTCTGTGGTCTATACTTCGTTTAGACCAATCTACCGCCGATATTAGAGAAGAACAGTGTATATAATCTTCGATTATATAGATAGAGCAGTAAGTCTTAAAAACAAATCAACGTTTTCGTTAGCTAATTATCAATTAGCAGGCTTGTTATTTTTTTTAGTATTCTTTATACTTACGTACACGTCATATCTTGACATATTTATATTTAATTATTTAATAAACAAAATGAGTTTTGCGCATTAAAAAAGTCTAAAAATTACAAGACAAAAATAAAAGAAGTCATTTATCATCAGTAAGTATCTAGGGCATAAATAGATAACAATTTACATTTAAAAAAAATTGCGCCATTTTTAGTATTGCAAGTATCTGAAAAAAATTCTCATAATGGAATTTAAGTCTCCGAAAAGTGATTTTTTTTCAATAAGAATTGAATTATTTTTAATTATAATTTGTATAGTTATCCTGTTTTCTAACATAATATAAATATAATATTTATGTAGTTTTAGATAGAGATATTATTGAGTATTATGCAGACTTTTTAATGCTATAACACAATTACTTGAATTATTAATAAAATAGTTACCATTTTCAAGCGACTTCAAAAAGAAGGCGAGTTTAATTTGGAATATAAAATATATATTTTATCAAAAGTATTTTAGTTACTTGACCCACCGTTTTTAAAATCGAAATGTATGAAATATGTATGTATAAAATGCATAGAATATATTTCATACACACATATTTCATATAGTGTGGGGGGGGGGGGGGAATGGATTGTTAGTAATGGGAAGGTTAATTCCCATTGCTATCAATCATTAGATCGACCTCCACGCGGTTCCCCCTGTGAACCATCGTGACTAATTTATCGTTGAATTCGTCACGATAGACTAACTGACCTGCCTTTTTATCCTCACCATTCATCCCTTACTGGTACCCCGCCAGTGTATACTGATAGCGTAGACGAAATTTCCATACCATTATCATCCAAAAAAACAACTTATAGTGTATGTATATATATACTAGCTGATTCGGCAAACGTTGTTTTACCATATACATTATTTCGAAAATTATACATGAAAATATATCGTACTACAATTATTATATTCGATCGTCATCTTGCAAAACTTATTGCGGCATATAAAAATCGCGATTAAAAAACAGGAGTTGATTGTAAAAGCGTGAAAATTTGAAGTTGTATGTATTTTTCAATGCTAAATTATAGTAAAGTAAAAGTAAAAAAAAAAAAAAATAACGAAAAAATAAAATAAAATATTTAGGGGTGGGTCACCCTTATCATTAAGGGCTATGAAAAATAGACGTTGGCCGATTCTCAGACCTATCCAATATGCATACAAAATTTCATAAAAATCGGTAAAGCCGTTTCGGAGGAGTTTGGTAACAAACACCGCGACACGAGAATTTTATATATTAGATCATTACATCTATATATGTAATATTTGTCAGATCCGTCAGTATTCTACGACTATGACGATATTATATATATATATATATATATATATATGTCATAATTTAAGTACTTGATATGTAGAAAATCAAACCGCTCATTCAGTTCAAATAGCGAGGGGAAGAAGAATTAAAAAGGATATTGTAGAGATATACTTCTAATTAATCATGTAATAAAAAAAAAACAAGATGGCAGCGTGAAACTGGCGAAAAATTGGAAATTTTCGAAACCTAATGCTGAAATTCCTGGCATAGTAGCGGAGGTGTTAGTGATTCTGATTTTGGGGCGCTGGAAGACCGAAAGAGATCCACCCTTCAGATAAAATTATGAAAATTCAACATATCGTCCGAGTAAAGGGCGATTAAATTGTGCGACAATTTTTCAGTATATTTTTAAATTCATTTTTAGAGCGCATGACTACTTCGTAGCAATTTGACTTTTATGGGGCGGTGACGCCGCTTCATGCGAAGTATTGCCAAGATAAAAAAATCTTCTCTGTTATTCGGTTATAAATACCCCAAAAAGAGAAAAAAATAGTTTTTGATATTTCAAATGAAAGAGTGATGTAGTTATATAACTGCGCAGTGCGGATATCGATATCGAGTTGACTACGGTTATCGACGTGGATAAATCCCTGTAGTTGGATGTAATTTGACAACTATCATGTGTCAGATCATATACGACATTGGGGCCTGCTAGATATTGTCAATTCTGGTCCTATCTAGGTACCCTACCTTTTATACTTATATGCTCTCTCTTTCTAAAACAAAATATAATCGCATTTCCTTTCTCGCAACGCTGCGCCTCACAAGTAATTATGGTGGATATCAATATGGCTTCATCTTCGAAAAATACAAAAATTAAAATTGAAGATGTTTGTAGAACTTGTTTATCGAAAGAAAATGATTTGATTTCAATATTTGAAGAGTGTTTTGACAAAGTCACGTTGGATGTTGCAATTTCTGCAATAACTGGAATCAAGGTAACTTTTGTTCATAATATTTCTGTTTATATGTTGTTTTCATTCTTATATTATTTAGTGTAAAACACACTTTTAATTAATAATTTTAACTATTTTATTCTAATAGTATGTTATTTTGGACCGTATGCCGTGTTTCAGGAAATTAAACAAATTTACACAAAATTTCATAAATTTACAATACAACTTGTAAATTTTATTTAATTGTAATTATTATTACAAATTAATATTAGTTTTACCATTAGTTAAATAGATATGGTTTAAGAACCGAATTAATTCTCAGTAATAATATTATTAAAATAGCATTGTTTTGAAGCTTTAATATTGTTGATTGTTAGTAGGTCGATTCTGAAGTGCTATTACAAAAAAATTTTGAACTTTAAAATTTATTTAAATGTCATTATGCCTGGTGACAAGCGATCGTATAGGAGATAACGTAGTATTACACTAGGAAAGGAATTGTTAGTAATGGGGTTTTAAATTCCCATTGCTAACAATGAACCCTATCAGGTGAATCTTCATGCTGTTCTTCTTGATATCATCATATCTGATTCTTGTTGAATTTGTCATGGTGAGCCAATTGATCTACTTTCATCCTCACCTATGTCACCCCTCAATTTTGCTCCATCAGCATATATTGAAAACTAAGTTCTATATAGTGAATAATCAGTGTATAAAGAAATATCTAATTCCGTTACTGAAAATACTTGTAACTAGGAACTATAGTGTTTGTAATTCTTGTGGAATTTGTAAAGTGGGTTAACTGACTTGCTTTCAACCTCATCTTTGAGGGGAGGGAAGGGATTGTTAACAATGATAACTATGGGCCTAGCAATATACCCAACCAGGTCAACCTCCACATGTTCCTCCCTGGAAACTCTCATGGTGATAAACAGGTCTTCTAGACAAGTCGACATGTCAAGGCAAGCAAATTCATCAATGGAGTCGACATTGCTATTGAGTCGATTCCATTGATGAAAGGAAATTAACTAAGAAATCAAGTGAAAAAAATGGATTTGGCAATGGCCGATGTCTCTTTCTTATTCACAAATTCGCTGGTGATTTCTGGCTGGTTGATACCATAGACGAATTAGCTTGCCACTTGTTTAGAGGGCCAGGTGAAATTTCATCATCCTTTTATCCTCATCACTCACTGGTACCCCGTCAGTGTATATCCATAGTATAGGTGAGGTTATTATTCCATCATCACCCATTAAAAAATCTCGTCTTATCTCTCACTGGTAGTGTGGTAGTTTTTGTTTTATGCTGTATAGGTTTTAACTTATATTGGAAAATGTTAAAAAAATACCATTACACTCATATTTCATCTCAACTTCTTATTTCAAAATGTTTAGACAGAAAATTCTCAAATAATCACAGTTTATAAAAGTGTATTAGGGGAAAAATAAAAGATTATTTCTAAATATAACACTTATTAGAAATTATTTAAAAAAATCAGTTTTTTATCCATATTGTGGCTTAAATTAAGGACTTCCAGGTTGTAATAAAGCAAAATTATTGTTATTTATTTTATATAAAAACACAATAAATACATTCAAATGTAAAATAAATTCTAAATCTAAAGAATACAAAATATAAATCCCTATTTCCAGATTATTTTATGTATGGGAACCCTTGGTGTATAAGTACAACTCATGTTTGATGGATTATTTTTTTAAATTTGGAAAATGTTATTAAGGGCATGAAAATGTTAGATTAAACTACACATCATAAAATTTGATAGGTGTGGTATTTTCTGAAACATTACTTTGATGTTGATTCAGTAATTTTATTAAGGTATTAAACTTTCTTTATTATTTTTGCATTATTATAGCATTCTTAGCAACTGCGAATTGGATTTTATTCACTATGCGAATTTTATACAAATATTTTTATAAAAGTTTCATTAGTATCCTAAATGATAGTCTCGATTACGCACATGATATTAACATTTCCTTTTGTTATTCAGTAATTTAAAATATGTACATACAAATTGGAAAATTAAGCAATGGCTTTAACGCAACAGTTAAATAATATGTACATTGTATAGTATTATATTGTATTTAATTTTATGAAGGCAATTTTTTCATTTTCATAAGATTGAACAAGGCGATGGTTTGCCAACTACTGTGTGTCATAGCTGTAAGGAAAATGCATCTAAAGCGTATGAATTCAAAAGAAAATCCCAAGAGGCTGATATCACCCTACGTGATTTATGTAAAAAGGAGGAAAAAGAAGTTTCTCTTCAAAACGATTTTACATACCAGGTACATAGTGTTTACGAAATGAATTGCTTGATTATTGATCTACATAACATAGTTTTACTTCAAAAATATTATTTTTTTAATTGAATCAGTGTATATGCTGGTAATTTTTTTTTTATTTCAGAATAATGATGTAGGAGTAAAGACTGAGCAACTTATAGTGGATGATGCAGACAATTATTTAGAGGAATGGCATGGATTAGAAGATTTGAATGATTTGGGTGAGTACTTTTTTATTTTAGTAAGAAATTGGAAAAAAATTTAATACACAAGAGTGTATTAAAATTTTAAAAAGATTTAAGAATATTACTTTTTTTTTTTCTAGAAACCGTTAAGAATGAAAATTGTTCTAGTGATGTTCAATCTGATCTTCAGTGTAAAAATTGTTATACAGTATTCAACACATACCTAAAATTTCAAGAACACATGAGACATAAATGTTTAAAAGGTATTGTTATTTTTTTTATATTATATCACTAGCTAATGTAATCTACGGTTTTGCCTTCGTGTATGAAAATAGAAAGTATCTTGTGTTGTTCTATTGTTAGATATTAATTTATCAGTTTTTGGCCTACTACTTCGTACGTATGGATTTTAGAAGTAGGAAAATTTCTGGATGGCGAATCATGATAGAAGACACACATGATTTTAAGTTAGATCTTCAGGAACAGCTGTGGAAATCGCATCTATTTTGGTGCAGTAGTTTTTGCGTGATGCCGGAACGTACAGATAGACAAAATTTCTAAAAATATTGTTTTGGTATCTATTGGTTGTATTGGTCGTACCTGTCATATTATTTTTTTCTTAATATCTCCCCATGTACAGACATCGTCTAGTCACAATTTTATTGTATTATGTATTGTATATGTAAAATAAAGGGTTTCGCCATGTTGTCATATGAAATCTGCGCTGGCGTGTTTGCTGCCATTGGTGCCTTTAATATATTGCTAATTATTAGGAATCATTTTTGGCTGATTATTAAATCCCTAACATCATTCGTTTTTGGAATATAGGGGTTGCAGCCCCAAAATTTTAAATTCATTTTCTACCAAACTATGATAAATATTTGAATAAAACCAAAGCGACACGAAAGCTTCTAACTAGCTTTACATTATATATATTTTAAATTTGCAAATATAATATTGAAAAAGAAAGGGATGGTTTTTAGTGGCTATTTCTTGAGCTACACCGATCAAATATATATATATATATATATATAACTATAATACGTAAAATTGCATAATATGTATATAAATCAGTCGATTTAAACTTTTTAGATATATTTTTTATAGATATTTTCTGATCGTTTTATATTATATTGGTTGAACACCTGTTTTCAGTTGAATTTGATGACAGTAGTAGTAATTATTGCCCTCTGTGCGGCACATGCTATTACGATGCTGTTAATCTGACTAAACATATGTGGGATAGCCATGCAGATCTAATGGGTGCAAAGAAAAGAGGAAGACCAAAAAAAATGCCGACCGGTGTAAGTTGTTACTATTTTTACGTTTACATTTATTTCGTCAATTATATTTACCCTAACTTCATTTATTATTTTTAGTCTATTTTAAACAAATTAACCGAAAATGGATTTTTGTTAAAATCAATTCCTTTAAGGAGGTATAATTGCACATTTTGTAAAGATGAATTTAAAACCAAAGAAGAATATTCAATACACCTTACGAAACATAATGGTAAGAATGTGAATTAAATTGGTGTATTTTAATAAATACATAAATAATGATATATAAATCGATAAAAAAATATTTAAAAATTTTCAGATACGAAAGTTTTATGTTGTTTAATATGTAAAAAAATGTACCTGAAAAAGAAACACTTTGATCAGCATACATGTGAAGACAAAAATGACCAAAATAAACAAGACGGACATATACAACGTGAAGAGAACAACAGAAATAAACAAAATTTTTTCACAAATATGACAGTGCAGGAAGTTTTGAATCCCAATGGTGATGTGGTTAGTTTTTAAATGTTTTAATATGCTGTAGGAGTCAGACTTGATTAACACGCGTCCATCTTAAAATATATAATGTTGAGTTGCCTCTCCGTAGTAATATATCAAAACTATCGTGTTGTGTCTTACATTGTCATATGTGTTAATCGTATACTTGCTGTCAATATCTTATAAATGAATGATAACCGTATACGTAATGCTTCTCTTATGGGGAGTTTGCTGTGAAAATTTCTAAAAATTATTGTTTATTTGGTCTTACTAAGATCTGTCACTCTGTTTTTAAATTTCACCCGTGTACAGACATGGTTTAGTTACAATTTTATTATAATGGTAAGATAATTAGCTGACACGGTAATAGTTTTGTTGTCTTCTACAGCTACCATCCGCAACTATTTTTACTTATAAGGTTAACTATCCTATATTTCAAGTAGGATTAACCATTTACAAATTTTATTACAATTGTACAGTTTCGGACATTAGCGTCAACGAAGGTCATGGCAGGAGGATACTTATTTACAGAAAATAAATTTTATTCCAGAAAAATAATTCTTTCCCCGAAGTATGTGGAGTTTGCACTGCTGTTTTTCTCTCAGAAGCAGATCTGCATCGTCATAATGATATTGATCATCCGGAGTTATCTCTTCGTTGTAATCTTTGTACAAAGGTAAATATAACAAAATTTCATACATATTGATTCATATTAGTAGTATTGTACGTTAACATAATTTTGTTGCCCCCTATTATCATTAAATTTATTATCTTGTTTATACAAATTTTAATTTAAAAATAAAAATCATAAATAGCTTCTATAATGTTTCCTTTATAAGAAACATCGAAACAAAACTAAAACCTATTTATAGCAATAATATTTCTTTATATTTTAATGTAAGAACAACCGGTTTAATTTACGTGTGTTTTAATCATGCTTTTTCGACTAAAATACACGTTACTTAATCCGGTTGTTCTTACATTAAAATATAATGTGTACTTAAGAAACTTGGATCAGTAAAACTTGTTTAGTTGAAAAAATGTCTCTACTATTTTTTATTATGTGATTATATTTATATTTAAATTAAAAATCAGACTAATCGATTAATTCTTATTTTTCTAGATGTTTGCTTCTGTCAAATCTGCTACTCGTCATAGAAGTATATGTAAACAAATAGAGAGGAAACACAGGTGTAGTACTTGTGGACTCATGTTTGCCTATGAAATATCGCTTAATAAACATATATTGCGGTACCACGAAGGGCAAAGCGTGTCTGTAAAATTTATGGATACTAAAACAAGTCAAGAAGACAAACAATATAAATGCGATATATGTAACAAAATGTTCTGTAGGTAAGTTTCAAATCTTTTTGTAGTCCATAATAAAAATATTGGATTATTGATTGTTTAATTTTATATACATATTATTTCAGAAAAGATTTGCTTATAAAACACTTCAGAATGCACTCTGAAAAATACTTTGAATGTGATGTGTGTAAGAAGAAATTTAACAGGAGCGACAATTTACGGTAAGTAATTTTAAATAGTAGATTATTTGTAAGGTTTATACTAGTATTTAGTACGTATATTGTACTAGCGGTATTTCGCGGCTTTGTCCGCGTGAATCTGTATATAATGTATCCTATGTGCTAAATTAAGATATAACCTACCTAGTGTTTTAAATTTTATTCAAATCCGTTTAGTAGTTTTTGCGTGAAAGAGTAATAAAAATCCATCCATCTATCCATTCATCTATTCATCCGTCCATCCTTACAAACGTTCGTATTTGAGATATTAATAGGATTGATTTAATGCAAGTAATTATTAATTGCATTTCGCCACTATATCGTGGAAATGCAGTATTGTACTCTGATAAAAATAATCTATTTGCTACTCTTGTGTTAACCCATTCGCAGATGAAAAACACCGTTAACAATCAATCCCTGCCACATTAAACATGCCCACCAAAATGTTATTATATCGTGTTATGTCGTCATATCTGCAACAGTCGAAAAATTTATTAATTACGTAAAAAATCGCAGTAATTTCTAGAAGTGTAAGTCTTCAGTTTAAAATAGTTTTTTAATTATAATTTCTTTACAGTTCTCACAAAAGGACCCATGAACCACGTGACAAAACTAAAGTCAATACTTGTTTGTGTTTATATTGCGGACGTAGTTTCAACAACTCTTCAAACTTAATTGTACATATGCGCCGGCATACGGGCGAGAAACCTTACAAGTGCGATTTCTGTGATAAAGGTCAGTACATATTATAGCTACAACTACGTTGTCACCTGATTACTACTTGTAAGGGAAGTATGTCACCAAGTGTTTGCTTAAAGGAAAATGCTTTATTACAATTAAACTACACTATCAGACTACAGTTGACATTTTGGAACTCAATGGGAATACAGTACAAATTTGGAAATATAAAGCAAAATATTGAAATCAATTTAATTTTTAAACAATAAAAATTGTTTTTGAAGATAGATAATGTAATCGTTAATAGACTTTGCTAGGAACTGTTAAATATTTCCATAAGTGAACATCGTGGTCTTACAGTATTTTACAGAAAAATCAGATGAATTATGATGATGTTCATGTTTTATTTTTGTTTGACTACATGTTGATGACTTATTTGTTCATTTCATAAAAAAAAAATATTTAAATTAATTATTATTCTCATAGGGTTCCCGAGGTCATCGGATCTTCAATGTCATAGAAGATCTCATACAGGTGAAAAGCCGTGCGTTTGTGGTGTCTGTGGGAAAGGTAAATTTGGAAAACGTTTAATTATCTATTAGAATCTACTTATATATATTTTTCTGAATTTTAAATAATATATACATCTTAGTGTAAGTGCCAGCACCTGCCTACACAGGACTACGAAAATGCGACAGTTACTTTTTTTTAAAGTCGTTTATAATATTCGGAATAAAAAACCGTGTAATATCGGTTTACGCATAGTAGTTTAGTGGTTTGTTATTTGGCTTGTTGATGCAGATGGAAATATTGTTTATTATTTATTATAATTAATATATATTTTAAGAAGTTCATATCTGATTGGTAAAATTGTTGTAAAGAGATGTTTGATTGTAATGTTTTAGTTAATTTATTTCGGATTTTGTGTAAATTTCAAATATATTAATTACAGTACAGATACACCGTAGTGGTGATTATGTTTTCATTTGAAGAGTTTTTCAATTCCTGACATCCGATATATCACTTTATGACTAAACTGTCAATTTGTCAATAAATATTTCCGATTTATTGCGATATGAATAGGATTATTGAGCTTCTAAAACTATACTTAACCTATTGAATTTAGTAATGTATGTGCGGACTGGTTTTAACATTATAAATATCTTGTATATTAATGCTAGTTGAATTTATATACAGGATATTGTAAATGTCAAGTATGTGATTATAAAAGCTTTTGGTTTTAATGGTACTGTACAAAACTGTTTAGTAATGGTATAAACATAATTGTTTTGCAATTTATAGTTAATTATATTTTTTTAATTAATTAATTCTTTGTCTTATACATTTGAGATAGCTCTCCACATTTATTGTTATTATTTTTCCAGGTTTCTCCCGTAGTAACAAGTTATCAAGGCACATGCGAGTTCACACCGGTGTAAAACCTTATAAATGTACATATTGTGAGAAGGCGTTTTCGCAGAGTAACGATTTGACACTTCACATCAGACGACATACAGGGGACAAGCCGTATATTTGTGAGGTGTGCGGTGATAGATTTATTCAGGTATTTCTCGGTTTCCACTTATGGTTTCAGATTTAATGTATCATTGGAAATCACTTTAATTATTTTTGCATGCGATAATTTATGTCTGAAAGTCTGTGTATTCTTTGGGTGCCATTAATTTATCTCCATTTCATATTCATTAAGATATTATTTATAAGGGACTACTATTTTATAAATTATTAAAAAGGTATGTTTTTTAATATCTAGATTTTCTGCGCAGTTTCTTTGCATGCATTAATTATAAATATTACTGTACTAATATTTCAATTGGTATTTAATACTACTGTTTATATTTACAACAACTGTTCTTTATTTGGCGACTATTCAACTATATTTTATTGTTAGTAATTGAGTCAAGCGGTAACTACGGTAAACGGTAGCGGTACTATCAATGTATTCTTAGTTAAGTTAAACTTGGTAGACCTTTATCTTTTATTATATATTATTTATTATAAATATTATTCCAATTATATGTAACTAGTCTGGCCATAAGTACTGTTACAAAAAAGCTTTTTTTCTGTTTTTAGTTATTTTGAATTTGAAACATGTTTATTAAATCTATCTTTTCAATTAAAGAAAGTGGATCAATCAAAACGCCTTCTATCGCGATAGACAAGTGAAAGGTACAGAAATATCCTCTTTATCGATGAAAAAAATTTCACGATTGAAGAACATTACAATAAGCAAAATGATAAAGTGGACACTCACAGTTCTAAAGAAGCTGCCCAAGTTGTCGAAATAGTACAACGTGGTCATCATCCAGCGTCAGTGATGGTTTGGTGGGGCGTGTCTTTTCAAGGATTCACAAAACTACATTTTTATGAAAAAGAGTGAAAACTTCAGTCAAAGTGTATCAAGATACAGTCTTGGATTGTGTTGTAAAACCTCTTAGCAATACACTTTTTAAAAATATACCGTGGACTTTCCAGCCCGACTCTGCACCTGGTTACAAGGCACGAACTACCTAAGCCTGGCATGAATCCGACGTTCCGGACTTTATAAGAGCTGAAGACTGGTCTTCATCTAGCCCATACTTCAACCCTTTAGACTTCAAATTTTGGTCAGTTTTAGAGGACATGGCTTGCTCTAAACGAGACGGCGATATTGAGTTTCTTAAAAAATCTTTGGAGCAAGCAGTGGCGAAATTTCCCTTGGAAATAGTGCGCAAATCCATAGATTAGTGGCCAGACAGATTAAAGGGCTCTATAAAAGTCAAAGGTGACCATGTCCAGTAGAATATTTTTTATTTTTTGATGAGACTTTAATAAATATGTAGGTATAAATTTTAGTAATATTACATTACTTCATAAAAAAAGCATTTTCATTTGTAACAGAACTTATGGCTGGTCTAGGCACATATATGCTATATGTAGTGTAGTAACTTAATATTAAAATTTCTGATGTTAATATGTTTGTATTTATTTCAGGGGACTGCATTGCACAATCATAAACGTAACCACGGTCATTTTCCAGCTTCTTCAACGGATACACATATTCAATTACAAAGCCTTACATATACGGTTCACAATATTACTCATCAGGATATAAATCAATAATAAAGTAAATAAAAAGTTGTAAATTTGAAAATATATTGTATCATATTGCATTACAAATAAGGTGTATAATAATACTAAGTTCAGTAATATATTTTTTATAATAAACTTACGTTTATTACTTATTTAAAACTCCTAATAGAATTTTATTATGACAATATATTTAAGTTGTTTATTTTGTTTTATTTTAATTTTCTTGTGATTTGATACTTTTAGATCAAATTGGCATGCTTGCATCGGCGACCAGTACACTGAAATGATATCGTACCAAATTAAGGTATATACAATTTCTGTCTTTTTTATAGTTACTTTCATGAACTGTAGAATACTTGAAATTTGGTGGCCTTAGCGCAGTATGCCCTTAGTGTAGTGTGGCCTTAGTCTTTTAATTTATGATAATGGGAACATTTGCTTTAGTAATGGCCTTAGTGTTATTATTTGGCAATGGCCATTTTATTTTATCTAAGTATAGCAGTCAACTAAACTGCGCAACGAATAAATTAGGAGAATATGAAATTATTTAATAACACGTATGTTTTTAATATATATGAATGACTAAAGTTTTAGAAAGCTGGCAGAAAGGTTTTTCGAGTGGGAACTCTGTATATGCTGTCGCAGGGAACGGTTTAAAGATTTCGAGAGTGTTTAGGTTGTTACAGACCATCGATGGTAATACATCTCTTGATCGTATTTTTTTTATGGATAAAGATACGCTGGCGGGGCACCAGTTTCTGTTTTTAATGGATGATAATGGAATAGTAAACTCGCCTGCGCTATTTAGCTGGCGTTAGCGGAGTACCAGTGAAAGATGATAGATTAGGATGAATACAGGTAAGTTAGTCCAACGTGACGAATACAATAAATTAATCACGATGGTTTCCAGGGAACGATGGAATCGAGTGGAGGCCGACTTGATAGGATATATTGTTAGCAATTGTATATTGCTACTTATAATCAGTTCTCCCTCTGGCGGGGCACCAGTTGTAGGTGATAGGTGAATGAAAGCAAGTTAGTTGGCCCATTGCGATGCATTCATCAGGAATTAACCATAATGATTTACGCGCGTAGGTCGACTTGACAGAGCACATTCTTAGCAATGGAGATACTAGTCCCCGTTACCAAAAAATATGATGGAAACCCATGTTGAAATGATGAAGATGCTGAATGTCAACCAAATGATGTAGAATTATTTTGATTAGAGCATAAATAATTTATTGTACCAAAATTAAAAAGATATTATTTTATACTGCAGAATCTTTTTAATTTTGTACACATAATTATGTACCTACTATTATTGAGGTCAGAAGGCAGAAAATATTGATGACGCTTGATGATGTGACACTACGAACTTATGAACACCATAATAGAAGGTAAGACAGAAGGAAGGAGGAGAGGAGGGAGACAGATTTTTTTTTGGAGAGGGTTTAGGTGGCCTTCTTAGAGCAGAAAGATGAGTAAATTATGTTTTACTTCGCTAATAAGGCGGAATAGATGTAAAAATATTATTTATTAACTAACATGAGTTTATAAGGCTAACTCTTTCTAGGTATGCATTAGCAGCCTTATAAATTTTGTACTAATATTGTTCATTATGTACGTTGTACCTATTATCAGACCTTTTACTAAAACATTTTTGATTTTGCGTTATCTATTTAGTTTGTTGTGTATGATCTTTCTTCTCTCGTATGAATGTGCATCAATAATATCTTACGTACTTTAGAAGCACATGCAGAACCCGAGCACTAAAAGAAAAAAAGTATTAGTTATACCAAGAACAGCATTAACTAGTCCAACTCAAAAAGTTTATTATAATTAATGTGTTTTACATATTCAGCAGTGGACAGTACGGTTGACATTATATAGCTTATATTTTTTACGTAATATGTATATTTTTTACATGATAAATAATATTTAATTTCGTTCAAATACCTGTGCTTTACAATCTGTAGCGTGACACTGAAATTAAATTTTTATTATGATATAATACTTTTTATAAAATATATTATTTTCTTTAAAGTTTAATTGATTTAAGACTTTTACACAATAGAATAGAAAAATATGACGAACCTCAGCGATACAACTTGTTCCTTCACACTGTTAAATTATAGATATTGTATTAGTTACACGTAGTACTAGTTTTAATATCGATGTCGTATTAATCGCTGATAAGTCGATATGTTAGGAAGACAACTATTATAAAAGTCCCCATGTGATAATAAATCATAGTTCTTAGGAAAGGATTTTACGTAGTGAAGTATGTAGTATATAAGTTGTATTTGTTTAGTGTCGGTCACCTCAGATCTGTAGAACTAAAGGCCTTAGAAGAAAGACCAAATATCTAATTTTATAGTACTACTGAAGTATTATGTAGTTATTTGTATGTGTTTAGTGTTGATCTGTAAAACTAGAGACGTTAGAAAAAAGACCAAGCAGCTACTTTTCTCCATTCAGTTTTACCAATCAAACCTATTAAATTATAAATAAAGATAACTAGTACTGTAACAGTCACAATGGTTCTCTAAATAATGCTATTTCAAAATATTGTTAAATCGAATTAAAAATATTCAGTAAACGAGGTAATCCGTTGTAAGTCAGATTGCATTAACAATTTAGAATCAGAAATAACAAAAATAGTTCGCTAATGACCATTTTTGATATCAAGACTTGTTGATTTATAAAACTGTCTCGTATTGGGATTTTTTTTTCTTTTCGGTGGTGTATGAATCCCGATCGGGTTTTATGTTACCAGCACAAAAATGTTTAGAGTCGATAAAATGTTTTGTTCTATTAATACTAGCCGATTGTATAATTTAAGAACTTATGATTCTTAAATTATTTATGCAATGACATTGTGGCTGAAGTGGCCAATAATATGTTTTGTCAGTGATTTGTCCAGCTCGTATTAATATCAATATAACTGTACAATACAATTTTAGTGGAGTTATGATTATCACTGATCTCTTATCACTGATATAGATTTTTTAGGTGTTATATATCAGTCGTCGCAAATATTTGTTAAATTTATAAGCGCTTTCATTATGGGTCCACTTGTAATTTATGTAATTCATAATATACATAGATAGGCTTTAATAAAATAAGGTAATAATCCTAAAGACGTCTGTTCGTTAAATACATGAAAAATTAAGTTTACCTTTTTAATCCGTTACAGAAAGAGTGAAATGAAATTAAATAAAAAATAAAAATACAATATTTTTATTTGAAATTAAATTGTATTTATTAGTAAATTAAAATGTTTTAGCTGTCTTACTTCTCCTAAGGTTTTTTTTGTTGCCAATGTTATTAACAATTTATAATGTTATCAGTTAGATGTTTTTTTTTAGGAAAATCAGTCATTGAATATATGTTGTAATTTTATTGTTATTTAGACTCACCAAAGCCGATGACATAGTGCCCGTACACTTAAATGTAAATAAAAAAAGTAGCATTTACATCCAAATATAAAGACGACGTATTTGATGAAAATAGGTTACTTATTCTTGGACTTTAGTGAATCACTTATATCAATATTTGGCAATATTTACTTGTTGGTACATTCTAGCGGGATAACAATTATCAAGATTAATTAAAAAATGCTTTAGGTCGTATGCACAACTACTTTTAGGTAAAATATTATACCTAATTGTACTGAACTTATAGGATCCATTATAGGTGGTAGAAATGCAAAGTTATAATATTCTTACATTTGCAAGACAGTCATTTCCTTTACACTGAAACGAAATTTTTAATAAAATAATAATTATGTTTTTATTTCTATTAGATAGTACAATATAATACGAATAACTAGTGTAATATTTGCAATTATTAAAATTAATATAAATTGTTATTTAAATTGCATAATTTGCCTTTGACTGTATATGTATTTATGTACCTATGTCTTTATTTAGCTAAGTTTATATTAACCTTTGCTGTACAATTTCTTGAATTTGCCTGAAAAACAATAGTATGAGTATCTATGAAATAACAAGAGTATTAATTAAATACTAATACTTTAGTATTTTAATACCGGGTGAAATTGAAATTATTCTTTTAACTAGAATAGAAGAGAATTCTTTTAAGAGAGTGTTCTGTCACTATAATTTCCATACTAATTGTGCGTGTTCAACTGTTAAGAATGATTCAATTTCATTGCTGAACACAGATTTTTACCCACGAGAAAAGAATTTTATGATTATTATATGGGTCATTAACTGTCCACCGACTACTACTAATATCATGTTGGCTAAGGGTGCGAGTATTTGATTTTATTTCCATCCCATCCCTTCAGTCGCAATCAAATACTATCTACTCTGCTAAAACTATGTTTTTTTGTTTTTTAATATAATTTAGTTGAGAATGGGGCATAACACTTAAGACTTCAGGAATGGCAGCCGTTAGACATAATCTGTGGACTGTCTGTGTTAATTTCGGAGAATTGCAAATAACCTAATTAAGGTTTTTTGTTAGGGGAAAACTTTATGATATAAAATTTATAAAGCATAAGTAATATATTTATAATGAGTCTTATGTCGCTCGCTACTTGGTGATCTCCTAATAATAGGATAGATGCCTGAAATATGAGTTGTTGTTAGGTGTATAGGCAACAAAAATTTTCCTTGAATTTAGATACTTTAGCTACTAGTTATTTTTTTTTTTATTCATTTCATCAATTTTATACATAAGTACATAAATGTCAAAACTATTTAATATATGTTACATATTAGTTAAGTACGAAAGAATATGTGTAAAATACGATGTCATGTAGATACGGATGAAATAATTTTCGATTTTTGATTATTTTGATGTTATTAATAGCTGTTTTATCGTTACGTCTTAATACCAATATTTGTGATAAAATACTAAGTTTTTGTAACTTGTTACTGATAGGTTTAACATAATGTCAAGAAAATTATTCAGGATTTTAGTTATTATTGGAGTTAAATGTACTATACTTGGGTTTCTTTCGGTTGATGCTATTTTAGTACCAGGACATTTATTTATATATTTACCCAGCAGCCCATTCATGGCTTTGCGGGTGTGAATTTAAGGTAAGAAGTATCCTATTTGTAACGATTATAAATAGTTTGACAGAATAACAAACAGTTTTACATTTATACCACTAATATTGTAAATGTGAAAGTTTTTAAGATGTTTAGGTGTTTGTATATTGGCTGCTTAATCATGTTTAAACGGCTGAATAGATTTGAATGAAATTTGATGCACAGGTAGGTTATATCCTAACTTAACACAATATATTTTATATACTGATTCAAACGGACAAAGTCGTGGAAAACAGTATTGTTATAAGAAGAATAGATTATAATAGATGTCTATTGTGTTTAATATGTTGATAAATTAAAGGCCTATTCGATTTAACTTTAAATTTTTGCTACAAAGTGCAAGTGGGGTAAACAAACGGTCATGTTTTCATTTTTTAGAGTGAGAAAGCTAATATTTTCTGAAGCAGTAACGTGTGAAGGGTGCCACAAAGCCCATCATAGTTGTTTATTTATTGCGGTTTACAATGTTTCAGCATTGGTCGGTGGCAGGATACATCGCGACAGTAATGTGATATTTAATAAAACTAAACAAATCGTGATTACATGAATTTATTTGATTATCTCGTTGTGATACTATGTGAATTAAAATTTGATATCTTCAACAAATCTAATGATATATTATTTAGTTTAAATTACTGATCTATGTTGAAATTCAAATGATACAATATTATTGATTTGGTCAATTATATCTAAAAAAGTAGGTATCTAACAGCTGGTTTAGTATATAACGTTTTCTTATATTAGATATTTACAAATAACATTTTGTATAGGTATCTTTATGAGATTTTTATTTACAAATTTGATGTATTACATCGAAGTAAAGCTCCATTATATACATACAGCATTAAGCTGATAAATCCCCTTTTACATAGTAACTAGTTGATCCCTCTTACATTACACAGCTCTTTTGCCTCCATCCTAAACAACTAATTAAAGTACTTATTTTCGGAAATTTACAAAGATTAAAAACTACGTGCAAAGTAGAGACGCTACGAGATAGAATGCAGTTCCGCCTAATAGTGGACACTTATTATATATGTTCGAAATTATTACAGAGGTAAATATTTCAAAATTACTGTTACATTTCGTGCTTACTACGTCCACTTGTTTCTAACTACGGAACTGAGTCGTCGTCCCCACATAAGATGGTATCATACAATAGTTCCTTGGAGATGTTGTGGATCCGCTGCCTGGGCCGGGGGTAGAGTTGGGCCCATAGAAGTAGATGGAAGGGCAGCGGCTACCTCTTGGTACCCACTGAGTGGAATACTCGGTCCTGGTAGTCTATCTGAAGGATTCTCCTCTGGTGGTGTCACTTCTAATCCAATACTACCATTTAGTGCTATTTTTATCGCATTTGCATTTTGCTGCTGCTGTTGTTGTTGATGTTGTAATAAAGAATTGAAATGGGATATTCCAATTTCTTCTAAACTGCTTTTCCGACGTCGCGATCCGACTCCACTAAGACCTTGTCGCAGAGAATTAGATCGTCTTAATAGTATATCATCGACAACACGAAGTGAATTTGACCGTCCACGAAAATCTGTTATAATTGTTGGACTATCGGGTAAAGAGAGAGAGTTAGCTTTAGTAGTAGACAGTGGAGGAGCACGAGGTTGGGCGAAGCTTGCACCGATACCGGAGCCCCTTCTACTGGCCACACCTTGAGCTTGTATTAAAGCTTGCGAACAGAAGCTGATATTTGATTTACGACGACTGTTGTGACGCTCAAATGTTTTTTGTGCTGAGAATGGTGATGGTCGAACCAGGTATCTGTTAAATTAAAACTGATATTAAATAACTTTCATAAGACCCAAATTGGTTACAGTGAGCAATTGTATAAGCTATTTCAAAAAGAAGAAATCTCTGTTGATAAAATATTTTTTTTGTGATAGTATTTTCGTCAATTCTAAATCAAATTTATTAGTTGTTTTTGAAATCAATGGGTTTAACTCCATTGTTGACTCTTGAAGTAGCCATTTTTTGTGAAACAAAATACTAAATAATTTACATACATGATATCTCCTTCTTGTAAATTTAAGTCGCAACTAGGATTAATAATGACATATGATAAGCTGTTTCGTTTTTCGCTGACGTCATCATAATCTATGCCAGTAAGATTTAGTGATTCCATTCTCGAACGTACTAGATTGGCTATTTCAGCTCTTTCAATTTGTTGTGCATGATTGTCTCTTGCTTCATCAGCCAGACTTGTAGAATACTGTGAATGCATTGTAAAATAAAAATATTTGAATTATAGATAAATGCTATGCAGTAGCCAACAATAAGATGTAATATAATATATATAGTTATGCTACCATTATTTATTTAATTTCTATAATAAATATTACATATTATTGTTGGGACTTCTATGCAAAATTGATACATGCATGGATTGCTCAAGTTTCTGCTTGCATGACTCATGAGTGAACGAATTTAAGTGACATATGGTATTTTGTCAATGGTCTATATATTTATGTACATATATATAAATAATGGATTCTAGATAGGGTTGTCAAGAGTGTTTATGCGGATAACGTACAGTAGAGGTTGGATACAGCACTGCTAATACTACGTCTAAAGCTAATAAGTGTGATATTGATACAAAGAGCACGTGGCTGTGTTTAGTGTAGGCATCTCGTATATTAAATTAACTAACAATTCTAAACCCAAAAACAACATTACATCCCCATAGTTTAAAATGCAATAGTTCAATTAATCAGTCTGACATCAATTGCAAACGGTTCTTGAATTGCGTTTTATTGTTTAGTCTCCTGAAAATATTTTAGTATTAGGTTATGTGATTATGTGTGTAAAATTCGAATAATTCAATATGAATGTTGTACGGCTTCTTGAAAACTATTGCTGGATATAGGTACTAATTTAGATATGAACTTGAATATCATCGATAAAATAAATTAACAATTTTCATGTGTAAATACGAAGCTTCTAATAAACCTATTTTTAGTAACCCCTTCGGATTTTATCAAGTTAATTATTTTGAAAAAATAATGGCAAAAGGCAACGAATAATTAAATAGGTTTATTGGACATTTATTTATATTTTTTATGAATGATGTGGTAAAAATGTAAGTTTTTTTTTATCGTGGCGTTTGTATATTGTGGTTTATCGTAATCGTTTACATATGTAAACTATGCCATACCTATTTTAAATATTTTATTTTAGTTACAACTATTAAGTTGATATACTATTAGGTGGTGATAGTTGACAACTTATTTGGTATTAACCAAATAAGTTGTCAGCTATCACCACCTAATGAAAATTGAAAATGCTTGTAGCATATTAATTTCTTCTGAATAATAATCATAATTATCAGTTGGTTGGTTATTCTGTGGTATCCTAATAAAAGTTTTTAGAATTTGCATACGTGTACAACTGGAATTTTATGAATTTACTGTGTTTGTCGTTTTCGACAATTGTTCTGTCTTGATCCGGAAGTCAAAACATTTAAAAATAATATTCTCAGAGTTTCAGTCTCACACGGCCGTGTGAATCTGAAAATAACTGAATGCTGTTCTATTCAGCTAAAATTCAATCGCTTAATAGGTTGAACGATGGATTGCAATACAGTTTGGTAGTGACCTTACCGCCGGCGTGCGTTCCCCGTAGCAGCCGCCGAGGCAGCTAGTAGCCTCCCGGCGGCGGCGGCCGCACGCCGGAAATCCTCCGCTTTCTCCCTCGTCCTGCTGGAACTGTTGTGTCACAGTTTTTTCGTACTTTTCCGATTAACATTAAGCAACATAAAACACTGCCGATAGCTCAAAATAATATAAACAGAGAATGACAGACTGGGTTTAAAATTGCTTTGATATTTGTTTTTAATATTGTTTGATAAAGGGAAGATAAGTATAATTTTTTATTTCTCGAAATACCCCAGAAATAATCTAAGGAGACTGTGTATATCACGTTGTTTGTCATGAATAGGTAATGAATTCTAATGTTCTATCACTATTTAATTTAGTAAGCATGCAAAAAGCAGAAGCAGTTGCAAGTTAATAAGTGTATAATACCTATAGCATTGTTGTTTGTCTTTTCAAGGTTACAATTAAATAACAGACATTCAGAACACAAAGAATATATATTCTTGTTAGATTTAGAGACTTACTTGCAAATTATTCCCTTATCAATTTTGTTGTGATCAATTCAATCAATTTTATATAGTATATTATTTTTTGTATTATAACATGTATCCAAGTTGATTACATGGAATAGCAGAGAATATAATATTTTCATATGTCTATATAATTAAAAATCAATGGCTGAATGTATGCAAGTACACTGATTACTCCAAAACGTTGGCATCTACTTGGCAAATTTTTTTTTATTCAGTAATAGTCAGGATAAGGTTTGTATTAAAGAAAATGTTTGAAAAATCCTAAGGGAAAAGTACGGATAACTAATATATAAATTAAGGGGTTGCAATTTTTTTATATCATTTGTTAATTTATCCTTTCGTTTTCTTTTACTCCAAAAGTTTGAAAAACGTAAATTAAGTTCAATTTTAATGAAATTGCCGATTTTTACAAATAAATTCCAAAACTATTATAAGACTACTCATGCTTTATTGTGTTAAATTTTTAAACTATATATGTTTTGTAATTATTTGCTGTTGCCTCAACAGGGGATAGGAATTTATCAGCGCCACATTTATTTTTAAATACTCGTGGTCGAGATGGGGCCCATTGTGTTCTCAACTCTCAGTCAAAAATTAAAATATTAACGTATCCATAAAGTATCAACTTTATTTATATTATATGTATCTGAATGCCATTAAAGCGAAACAATATATGTTTATTTTAATTTTAAATTATAAGATAATTTGTAAAAAAAATTTAGCATTATCAACAGCAATTTAAAAGGTACTGTAAAAAATTCAATATATATAGAAAAGTTTTGTTGTTTACTATCATCATAATTGCCTTCGCTTTTGAGGCATGATTTGGCACTGTGCAGTACGTTTTACTCCACTGATCTCTATCAACCTTGGTACATCTTATTTTGATTTTACAGATATCCACTTTCATACAATCTAATTAATCTATTAAAAAATTCTAAAAAATTTTAATTTTTTGGGCACCATAATCAAATGGCAAAAAATTATATAGGCGACGTTATTTTCGCAATTCTATCTTAAAAAAAAATAATGACTTCAAATTAGTTGTATAATATTAATATTTTTCTGTAAGTACTTTTTTACAATATAAATTTCGAAATTACAAAAATTCTTTTTTATTTCTTTTCATTTTTTTGCATATTATTCTGTATTTATACATTTTTAAATCTAAAGCAATTGAATTTTCTCTAGATTTACATCAAACGAACCTTGTTACAAATATATTAAGTGAGAATGTTGTACGACACTAGGCTTCTCTATGACAGAACATGCAAAACACACACTACAGAGATAACATAGAGGCGGGATTGCGATCATCGAGTTGAACGGTTGTATTTATCGATGTTCCCAATATTTTTTTTAACCTAGAGTATGCCCAGTCGTTGATTATATGTTGTTAAATAGAATTATTCGTTTCTTAATTATGTGTTCACGCCAAAGCAAGATTTAGATCAACCCTCTTGGCTATAGCAGTATGCGGTAAATCATATTAAAGCACGTGTATTTCATAAGACAAAACCAAGTATCGCGTGAGGAATAAGAAAGTTATATAAATGCTATAACTAATTACAGACACGCCACAAGTGTTAGGCTCAAGATGTATAACAATGTAAACAGTTTACAATAATGGAAAAAGTGTGACGCTGACGCGGGATAAAGAGAAAAAGAATCAAAAATTGAACCCGAAATACAGTCCAGAGATTCGGACTATTTCATAGCATAATATTCGTATTATTGTTCGTAGTATGTAATTTGGAATTTAGAATGGTAAAGTGGTGTGTAAATCGTTCAATAGCGCTTAAATGTACGCGTAAAGGACTGTATTTAAGGAAAGATATCGTAGAGTACTGGAGTTAACCGACTCACCGATGCACGCGATGGTCGCATTCTCGCGAGGCGTGACCAAAACCATTTTGATGGAGTCCGTGGCGACATACTCACGTGGTGAGAAGCATCGGCTAATGTTGTGTCCTGTGTGCGATAGATCCCTATAGGAATTTCGCAAGTTGTAGAACACAACTTTTGGTAAAGCCGACCGTATGTACGTATCCACATGTCTTCCTTTGTAATTTTCATCTGTTTAAAGGTTTTAATAGATTAGTCGTCGAAATAATGTTTAAAGTACAGAACTGCAAATGTAGTCTTTCGTATACTTACAAGTAACATTCGCAAGTAAGCTAACAATTGACTTCATACATCTAATAAATGTGATAATGCATATGTGATGAAAATGAAGTGATATGATATGGCTATAATAATATTACAAAATTCGCAACAATTATCCGCTGAGTTACATAATGTGCTATTATTGCACAACGAAATAAATTATTTAAACTTACTGATGTAAGAAATCCTGATCCTGGAGCTTGATCGACTCCTAACAAAAGTCGAACAAATGTGATCACATAGTCTTTGACAAATGCTTGATAGAGTAAAGTATCCAACATCGAAGCTGAGAACACAGACCCTGCAGCGAATGGTAGACGGAACATGTAAGAGATGTGGGAGCCACGTTCTTTTTCACGCTGTTGAAAATAAATAGGACGTCAATAATTTACAATAAACTTTAAAGTAATTCATTATGCACAAGTATTTAATCATTTTGAGGACCTTTTCCATTTTTGAGAGATGTAGTGCATATTTGTCGTGTGCTCGAAATTGCATGAACCGCATATTAGAAGATTGTGACAGTTCTGTTATTGATTTAATTGATGGAAAGAATCTGCAAAAAAAATCATAGTATATATAATCTGAAATATTATTACAAGGAGTGTAATTCGCAATAGCATGCTATGTTTTATTTTGTAATAATTTGAATAGGCAGTCGCTAAACTAGCTGCTTAAATATTTCGCGTAGGCATCTTAAATAAATTAGTAAATTAGGTGATAATTATATTAATAATATAAAAGATAAAAATTATTTTACTTGAACATTGTTTGTACAGCGACTATTGTATTACAATCAGCTAGGCTATCCTCTTCAGCTGAATTTGAAAGTTCTTTGTTGACTACTACTACATTTTCGGCCAGAGTTATTCCCGCTCGTAGAAGGTCATCTAAGCTGTAATAAAATAATATGATTAATAAGAGGTCATTTACAAGCTATCAAACATAGAATTATGAGGCTTCATAATTACCTACCAGTCTATAGATCCCAGCATCCAGTAAACTAAAGGAAAATATGATATTGCATCTAAAAATGCAATGTCGGGCCTGCGCTCCAATAATAAGATAATAGGATTTAGGGATGTCTTTGATCTAAAATGAGCTCTTAAAGGAATGATGAAATTATAAATTCCATTTGAAGCGTAGTCAGCAGCAAGGATGATTGTTTTGTTTTGCCATTGGTACTCTTTAGCGTTTCTGTATGCACAGTGTTCGCATACTTGAGCTAGTTGCAAACAACATAAGGGCTTCTTCTCTTTCAATAAGTAGCACAAAGTTGGACTGACTCCAATAAATGGCGATACGGGCGGAAATCCTTTGACGATCCTGCAAAATCTCTTCATGTTATGGTCTCAGAACTAAAATTATTATAAAATTTAAGGATACGTTATACAATCAAGCAAAGCTTAGTAACTTTTTAAGATATAATATTTAGGACTTGAGGTCTGCTTCATAGGAAAAGAAAAAATAACTTGTAAAATAAGATCTAGTGTTATAAATGTGTTATTAATATTCGTTTTCATGAACTACCAAATTGTAAATAATAATACTAGCGGATGCACTAGTATTGTAGAAATTAATAGTGTCTTTTGAAAAATGTTTAATAGTAATCGTAAAGTTATAAAGTTCATTTGAAATAACTTGTTATATGAGTCTTTTTTGTTTAGCAAAATAATTCTAAGAATATTTTATTATACTATCTGATTCAGATAGAAATAATTAAATGGAATTGTACAATGTTCATGAAGATTTCTATTTTGAAGTAAGTTAGCGAATAAATAAATATTTTAAAATTTTTAAATAAAAGTTAACATAATAAAACTACTGTCACTTAGTATAAATAAACCACAATTACCACAGCTATATATAATAACTGACATGAACTAATATTACTTATTACTATTCAAATATAAAATAAATTAAGTAATATTAATATAATAAATATACCCTTGATATAAGCATGATTAATTTTATATATGTATAGACTTGGAAAGCATCATACTTGTTGGTGACTAGAGTTGCGGGAAATTATGCATGAAGAAAGGGTTCTTCAAATTCATAAGCAACGGGTAACGTAGTTTAAATTCATATTTCTTAATTACATCTCAAGATAGAGCATCGTCCTTAAAAATAGGGTCAAAATTCAATAAGTCAAACCTCACTTTGACTAACTGAATTTTATACATATATATATATTTAAAAAAAAGCGCGGCATTTTTCAGTGCTACAACATTTAAAAATACTCTAGGTCAGGTACATTTTTAAAATATTATTTTAAACTATTTTGTATCAATGTATCAAAATACACATATATTTTATACAAGTGAATTATACTATATATATATATTATTTTTTACAATTTACATTTTCCCTATTTACTGAATAATAACTACATATTCTGGTATTTACTATTTTTTTTATTTCGTTTAGAAATAGTTTAGATCCATGTTACTAAAAAGTAATTTCTTGTTCTACAGGACAATTAATATTTGAAATTACTATTCGAAATGTTCTTCAGCTATTGCTTTTCTTAGTGAGAGCTCTGCGGCAACTCCTAGCTATTATATTATATAGTAGAATAAATTGAAGTGCTGATTTTGTGTGACTTTCTTCTGTAACCCTTCTATACTATATACAAATTTATGTATTATTATAAAATATATTATTAATATTACATTCTATTAATGTTTTATTTATATGTGGGTCTGTTCTGATCGTATTATGTATAATACCTTAATAATACCTTTCATGTCACTCAATAAATAGTTGATAGAGGCCACTTCCTTCACTTATGGCTATGACATATTATGTAGGGTATGGTATACTCTATGAAACAGCCCTCAGTTTTAAAATTGTTAATTAGGTAAAAATAAGATTCTTAAAACACAGAAACCCTTGCCTTTAGACCATAATACATACATATCTAATCTTAGGGTAGCAAGTAAACAAACACATAATCGTAGTTGTGATAAAATCTATAGTGCTGATAATTCTAACATTCAACATCAAGTTAACGAAGTTCACATGCTTGAAGATTTTCAGGGGCATGTGCAGAAGACAAACCTAGTTAATCACGCAGAGAATAAAAGATTGGAGTAATATAGCACAACTAAACATAACAGTTTACATTACCTTATTTTCTATTTGCAACACTGAACTGCTGCATTAGATGTTTGACTCTTTTAAATAGCTTCTATTTAGCTTTTTATCGCGTTTCGTTTAAAATTGATCAACGATCAGTGATTTAATACAAGTTTAAATAAGTGTAAAATTTATTTTGTAATCAAAGGTAATTACTTTGAGTCAATAAATTAGTTTAAATTGGAATACACTATTAAATTTCAACGATAAATTTTATTGTCACTTGATGAAAACTAAAGGTATTCATATTTATTTTTTACATAATAACAATAAAACAGATTTTTATTTAAATGATGCGTGATTTAATACGAATGGTTTAGTGGCGACGATCACTGTAATGTGCCAAGTATTAAATAGAGCACATTTACTAAAACAATTGATTTACAATAAGTATTTAGGAATAAATAGTTTAAAGTAAGTACCACTGAATTTGCAATCGACTTCTGTAATGAGGTTATAAAAAGAATAACATAGTATTTTTATTGATTACTGAAAATATTATATCATATAATGACCTGAAAATATAATCCAGGTAAAACCATCGTCTTTGTATTCTTTAATCTTCTGGACGTTGTCTAAAATTAATGTAATGGTGATGTAAATATAATACATAAATTATTCTGAAATTTGGTAAACTAAACTGTACTTCTTTAAGAAAAGCTCACCTGGTAAAATCATTTCGCCAAGCACTGTGCACGATGTCACTGCCTGCCAGCGAAGAGAAGCTGCTGGTGGTGACGTCATCACTGAAGGCAGGGTTACGGGCCGTGCGGTTGGGATTTACGCTCAGGGGTTTATACAGATACATATACACAATTGTTTAAGGGAACTTTATAAAGTATCTGTATTTAAGCAGTGTTCGCTAATTTGGAATAGGTTGGGAGATATCGATTTTTTGGATATTTTGTGCATTTACATTACGATTACTATGTACATAAAATGAATATTGTGATTACCTTGGCTTGACTATTTATTTTTTTTATTCATGTAGGTAAGTAGTCGAAGCAAATTAGATCAAACAATGAAGTGTATGTACATATAAAATTACATATAAAATTCTTACATATAAAAACAATAGTAAGGACAGTCGATGCTTGTAAGAGCATTCCATCTGACTTTCATATCCTTTAAAATAAATCATAAATTAGCGAGTAGAATAGACCTATAATCTATTAGAATGTGAATCTCAGGAATATGTATTAAAATGTAATTGATAATTTATTATAGATATATTGTATTATTTCCAATGTGCTTCGGCTTATATTTATTTGAGTAGAAAGATTATAGAGGCAGTAAGCAATAGATATAGGCAATGCAGAATAATGTCAAGTTTTATAATAAATGTTTGAAATAATATTGGTATGTGGTTACTGGATGAACAATAAACAGTATGTTACGTAAATTGTGTACAATAAAAAGAGCTTCATAAACAAATATCAAAAAGAAAATGTAAAAAGATTAATATAAGAATACAAAAATGTATATCTGAAAAAGGCCAGCTGGCCATGATGTAAGAAATAATTAAAATTATGTAAGATTCCATAAAATTGCATGTTAACGACTAAAATACCCTAAAACTTTAATAAACTTTAGATCTTATCTTCCTCCTCAGAAGAAATATCATAGTAATTTCATATTTGTAGTAACGTTTTTATCTTATTAATACTGTAGCTTATTATATCGGCTGTTTAAGTATTTTTATTGAATATGTTTTTCAAAAGTTTTAATAAAAAAACAATGAGACTATTAATATTTGCGTAGCATATTTTTTGTAACCGTTTTTCGTATATTATGAAATATTTATTCTACAAACTTGGTGGGAGTATATGTATTTTTCTAATAATGTCAATATGTGATCAAAGTTCCATCAAATGACGATAATCACGTCAATTTTGATGAAAATTTGCTAAATAAAAACTGCGGTGTATTTTAAAATCTCAACATTCAGTTTATCAAAAATATTGTTACTGGTGTTCGAGCTATTCATCGTGGAACGTGATCTTATTTCTGGCTTTGTCGTTCTTATATCTTCTTCTGTAACTTTTAGATTACGAATTAGGTTTCCTTTAGAACTTTCATGGAGTATTCTAGATTGTATTTATCCTTATAATAAGGGCTCATTTATTAGTCATGTATTTATGTATATGTTACTTTAGAAGATTATTTCTGTCTAATGATGTTACGGTTATCTGTCAGGTACAATAATTGTAAGTTTTTATAAATGTTTATAAATTAATGCAGAAACAAATTTTAGTATTACTCTAACACAAGATTGTAAGGAGCTAAAAAATTTACTATCCATATTTACTCGTATCATTTTTTGTAAACTATGATTATTATATTCTGCATTGCCTATTAAAACCGATGTTTTGATTCATGACTGATAAGTATGTATCCTATGAATAAAGCAATGCAGAAATAAACATCGAAGCTAAGCAAAACACTTACATGTAACAATGACGAAGGTATTGTGCGGTTGTCATGCAGTTTGCGTGATCCCGGTCATCTATCTATGGGAGTCAATGTATAGGCTAAAACAACCAGAAATGAAAACGAAATATCGTTAAAGGCTTATAATCATTAATAATTTGAGAAACAAGCCTTAACGATATGAAATAAAATTATATTCGTGTATAAAATGCTTATATTGAAAAAATATCAGCGGAAAGTGAGAAATAAATTGTTCATGTAGAACATTGTAATTTGTTAAATTAGGCCTATGCTACTCTATGTACAAAAAATATAGACGAAATTGTGTATAAATATATTACTATAATTTATCATGATAATTAATACTGAAAGATAAAGAAATGAAATTTGCATGCACGTGAGATGCAGTTGAAGCTAAGGTTGACGATGTGCTTACGCTATTTTTTCTGACGGTGATCTCCATGGTACATCATCTTCTAATTCATCTTCACTTTCGTCTATTTCTGCTTCATCATCTTGATTATCAGAAGCAATATTAAGACTACTTGTCACCATGTCAGGTACGGGCAAAATGGATGGCCTTCTGCTTCCTGTAAGGAATTTATTCTTTATACTTTCCAAGAACTACATGCAGTTTAAAGATTATTTAGTTGTAAATAAACGTCAGTTACCTCTACGATAATTCAAAGCGTCTGGACTGAGGAAGTTAGTATTGTCTGGTTTAGGTAATAATAAATGGCTGTCTGTAGCGCTGTCGGTTCCTGGAGAATCTTTTAAACAGGTTCTAGAATCTGACGTTGATGTGCCTTCACCATACTTTGCTGTATAAGTTGTACAATTGCTTATATTAATTAGTATAAATGTGTTACTGTTTATGTTTATTTTTAGTTTGTATAGATAATAATACATTAAGAAATATTTTGTTTATTAATATTTTGTCTTTTATGCGTGATCATTTTTATATAAAGCTATTAATATTTATTGTTTCACTATATTTAATTTTGATAACTATGAGTACAAAAATGGATTAAAATTGTTTTATGTATGACAACATGTGTGACATTGGTGATAGTAAATGAATATTTACTGAGTTTACTACTACGTTATTGCATAACATTGAAAATATTAAAACGCACGCGCTCATACACGCACCTAAACAAACATTAAAACGCAAACGCGCGCATACACACACACACACACACACACGTATACACACAAATCCACATCCACATACATACACACACATACATACATACATACACACACACACATACACATACACACACACAGACACACACACACACACACAAAGACACCTACACGTATACTCACACGTATACATATTACACACGTAGGCAAACACACGTACTACGACATTGATGAAACGATTGATTTAATGGACCGAGCGCATAGTTTCTCTAAGAATGTTCAAAATTATAGTGTATACAATTCGTATTTTAGAAAATTTTGTATTGTATTAAACAATGCGCTAGGTGATTGATTTCGTGATGTAAATGTCAAAGTCGTATATCACCCATCTAATTTAATCTAAAATGCATGAATATCACACACCAAAAAAAAACATGCAAAAACAACTGATTCAAACTTTAAATGTGAATTATATGACAGTTTTCCAACCAATCTCCGAAGCACACTCACCGTACAGAGTGATACGTAGGGACTGCTATCTGTTTTTTAATTGTTACAAATACATTAATTTTGTGGTTATATATTTGTGAAAATTACAACTACAAGGAAATTATTTATTATAAAGAATTAGAAAAATGTTTGTGTACGTCAAAACAGAATGAAAATTTTAAATATTTTATTTTATAAGGATGTATTTTATGTATTACTTCGTTGTAGTTGACATTAACAGTTTTTTTTAAATGTGAACAAATTGCTAATGTCTTCTACGAAGTCGAATTGCGAAATTAAAAATAAATTTTTAAAATATTATGTTCAATTTGTCTCGACCTTAAGACATTAAGCAACTTAAGTGATAACAAATAGAAAGTAGGTCGAATGCACATGTTGTTAATTTTATTTGTGTATTCGATCTACTTTGGGCGTTTATCCAACTGTGACACTCACAGCTAGCGACAGTAAAATTAGCGGATGATACAATATTAGCTTGGTTGATGCGTGATGGCGATGCGTTTGGTGTGGAACTCGCGGGAGCTTGGAGAATCACTTGTGGGAGTTCGTATTGAGCGACGTTACTACCGTCTGTTTTTTTCTGCTGGCCAGTACCCTCCTCTGCGTCGCCACTTTTCTTCTCGTTTGAAAGCAGGCTACATGCTGTTTGATCTTTGGGTATTGTCGGTTTATTTTCTATTTGTTTTTCGGATACAACGAATGCGGAGTTTTCTTCTTTAGTGATGCTCATGTAGTAACATGTATCGCTACTTTTCATGATATGACGAGGTCCGGGATTTAACAAGATTGTATCTTCATAAAACTCTGGTAATTCGGCAGGGCGGACCCCAACTAAAGCTACACCATACCTTTATTAAAAAAATACAATTAGTTGTATACGGTAACGATTTTAAAATGTACATAATGTTTATTTTATGATTTAATACTGACTTTCTGTGAGAGTGAAAACTTGCATAAGTAAAACTTTTGCCTTCGTATTCGCCAAAGAAACGACTGTCTCCTAAAACAATGTGGTAAATTTCGTTTCCAGAGCACTTTCCATATAGACGATGCCATTCTTCTGGTGACTGTTGCCCCTCCCTAGAATACAATGTGGTTTAAATATTTGTTTGTGTTAGAAAGACATTATATACTGTCATTAGCACTTACTGTCCTCTGCTAGTATGTAGTAAAAGTGTTACGAGAGTTGATGCACCAGGGCATGTGCAATTATTAGCTAGGAGAGCGTATTTAAACTCGTCTTCACATACAACAAATTCAGCGAATTTCACGTGCAATTTATTTTCTGGTCTAAAAATTTGTACATATTGTGGCACATCTGGAGCAAAATCTTTAACAGCCCAAGACCTATAAAAAGAAATATTATTTGCGAATAATGTATAAAATCGTCTCTGTACTAATATATAACTAGTATAAAAATCATGACTCAGTAAATGTGAATATTTTTTTTATTTTATAACATATCATATTAAGATATAATAATATAAATATAATAATCAATTTCGCAGAATCGTTGACTATAGCAGAATTTTTTGTTTCCTTCTTACTTTTCTAACTAAACTGACTAGTATCATGAATATTTTGGAAATTATAGTAGGTTATATCAATTCCTTCATCAATCATCAATCAATGAGTATGAAAGTATGATACTTTCATAATGTAACAGTATGGATCCCAAAAAATTTAAACATTTTGTGAAATTGATTAGATATTGAGTTGTTAAGGGGTAAATAGTGGCTCCAAATGGTTCGTGTATTATACTACACGGCTGTTGTGTTACTAGTTCTTGGTTTGAATTGACTTGACACGGAGCCGCGTGTCTAGATGTACATTGTTCGATACCTTAAAATTGTGTGTTCATCAGCAGCTGTCTTATCAGCATAGTTTCGTGCTGCTAGTATGAAACAAGCTTCAGCTTCGTTCATTCGAGCTCTAATAAGATCGGTGTCTTTTAGACATGAGCCTTGAATATAAATAACTCTTTGAGCCCATATAGGGACCTGAAATAAAAAAATACAGTGTTCTGTTAATAAAAATAAATGTGCTAATTACATTTCTTATGGGAGATATTTGTTGATCGATACTGTTGTAGTGACTGTAATATTCGATGTGAGAACATTTTACCGAGATACCATACAACCTATCAACACTTTTTTTTATTAACTAGTTTTATAGTTATGTAAAATTAATATTTTCAAAATTTTCACCTGTAAGATCATTCTCATTGTCGTATCTAATTCCATAGGAGATAGTAAAACAACATAGTAATCTTGCAGTAATGGATGTGCATAAAATTCATTCAAAAAATCCATAATTGTGTCAGCATGGAGAGTAGTCGAACACACTACGACATGCTTTTCTGATTGCGCACGATGAGATGAGTAGGATCCTCCCAATTTTTGTCTTTCCATCCAAGTAAACGCCAATTGCTCGAACTATAAAAAAAAGAATGATGATGTAACCGAAATAGTCAGTATAAAACAAAAACACGTGCTAATCCTAACCTTTGACGTTTTGGTTTGAAGCGCCATCTTCAATCGTCGTGTAAAATGGAACAGTAAAATTGATATGTTACTGGTCTATATATAAGTAATTGAAATTTTCAACATGATGGTATCTAAGAGCGATATGGAACGAAATGTATATGGAGAAAGATGTAGCAAATATAGAGCTTTCTATAACATAAAAGCTAATTGCTACTGATGGCGTTGAATTTGATGACGCTAATAATGATTAATTGATGTATTAGTACATGTTTAGAAACAAGACGTACCTGTGTCGGTAAAACAACAAGAGCAACTCCTATCATTATCACCATAAATAATTGAGATGGCCATATATCAGGCACGAAGTCTCCGTATCCAACTGTTGAAAAGGTCACCACGACGAAGTACATTGCTTGGAATAAGTTGAGATGCCGATGTCCAGCACGTTGGAAGTGTTGTATACCGCATACACTGCAATTGATGAAGTAAAAATTATTTCAATAACACATATCAAATTCCTCCAAGTGTGCTTATCCCACCTGTGTGTTATGTTTTTTCCTCTTTGTAACTTTTTTTTTTATTAAAAATATGAATATATATATATTTAATAAAATATGTACAAAGAAATTAACATACATATGTAATTTACAAACGTAATTTAATTTCATCAAAATAAAGCTTAATCGTTCATAATTTCTAAAGCACTTGTATGTATATGACGCTAATAACTTATTAGTGAAAGTCTCAGTGTTGGGCACGAGTCTGTCTTCATAAAAAAGGGACATTAGCTTACTAACACTACGGTAACTAGTCGCTTTGGCATGGAATAATATCTAATGTATAAAATTTCTGTGTCACCATTTGTATTATTCGTTTTAACTTGAGTGACAGTATAGGTTTTACCGCGATATAAAAATGGACCATGTAGATGGCAATAAGGAGCATATATTATAGTGTCATATTAAGTCTATTATGGAACTAATGAATTAAAAATGCTTATTGTTCCTTTGGGGATTACAGTCACAATAGGTAGTTTGAATTGATATTAAAACTATAACTTGGTTCATTAAACCATTTTCGTTCAATATTTTAGTGAGGTGCCGTTGCGATATAGGTTATATATATAACATATATATTAAAAATAGTATTGGCAAACAAACGTTTAATATTATGTAAATATAGAAACATGCATACCAAATAGTAATGGCTTGTCCCTTTTATTTTAATTACGCACATTGAAATTGGGCGCGTTTGTTGCCATTGGGACATGTATGTGAATGTAATACATAATACTAAGCAGTTATAATTTTTTTAATTGCTGACATAGCGTATTTATTTTGGGGTTACGAGAAGTACCGTTACATAACAGTTAAAAAAGTACGGATCCTAAAGATTGCCTCTGTTATATTTTGTAACTACGGTATTGCCACAATATACTCTTATAATATCAATTTTAGTTAAACCTATTGCAGGTGTTTACAATGAGTTCGAGTTTCAGTAGGTTACCCTAATCTTTTTCATAACCCTAAAATGGACTAAGAATAGATCCTTGAGGTACACCCATACGCAAGAGACCCGTTAGGTGTAACACATACAAGAAAACCTCTCTATGCATTCCTTAATTGTAATCTTATAGTTAAGTCTTAGTTTTTTTCTTTAGCAAATTTTTGGCAGTTTTTAGTTGTAAGTTACTCTAGTATTAATTTTATTGTTAATACTTTTTTTGAATACGATAGCACTGGTCAAACAGAAATGTTTTCTTCATTTTGTGAGTGAAGTCTTATTAAAGATAGGTTAATAAATATAAATATGACAAAAAAAGAAGTTAATTAGCTTTAGTTTCTGTGATATAAATGAAGTAGACGGAATAATTATTTTAACGGATTTAGGGGGAAAAAATCGTTTTAATTCATATGCCAACAACATGGAAAGTATATTTAGAACATCTATGATATTTATTTATTTATTCTTTTTAGTTACAAAATCAATCTATATTTATATTGTTTGGTGTAGATAAAAGTCTATTTAGATCTATTGTGAATAAGTCAGTTTGGAAATAATGTGCGAAAAAAGAAACAGGTTTATAAGTTTTTTTAAGCCTGAACAATAAACGATGTGATTTGTCCCGTACCCTTTATAAAAACTTGTTCTATAAAGGATAATAACTTAGATTATATAGATAGAGCATCGAGCCTCTAAAACGGGTCAACTTTTTGACAAATAGCTGACTTTTTTTTTTATATTAATGTTCTTACGCATTCAATGTATTTTGATATATCTATATTTAATTATTTAATAAAACAAATGCATTTTCGTGTATTATAAAGGTGCAGAATTTATAAGACAAAATAAATATAGAAGTTATGAAGGAATCACCCATAACTATTTATCATGAAAAAATTTATGAAAAGGTTGACTTGTTTTTCTCGAAGCATTTGTATGGAGATACTCTATTTATGTAATCTAAGGATAATCACTATTTAGTTGGTAACATTTATTTCAAAAAGCTTTTTCCTATAACGACGTAAAAGTGATGAGAGCCGATAACTGGGTGGAAGAAAAAAAAAACCCTTAAAAGGTTGTATAAATTGAATGAAGCGAATTTTCCAGAGATGATCCTAAATTTTTTTCGCTTACTTGAAAGATAAATATACGACAATGACTTTATTAATTTAGTCACGTAAATGTGTATATTTCGGGGCTGTATTTTGTAAGCTTGAGTCATGAATTTCTTAATTGATTTAGTGAAGTAAATGAATTATTATATCATGTTAAGATACTGGTTATAAGTGGTTTTCTCATAGAAAATTAAATAATTGAGTAAAATAATTCGCTCAATATTGTAACATTGTCTAAGTGCCGCTTAATTTTTTGGGAACTTCGTTATTCGTTATTTAAGAACGGAGAATGCGCTATTAAGATATTTAAGCTTGTTTTTTTTTATCGTATTTTCGTATTGCAATATTTTTGTTTCGCGTTGTGCCTATTGTGCAGAACAGTTATTAAAGATATTTAAGGCATCGACAAAGAAACTAGTGGATAGTGGCGGCATCTACAATCTCGATTAGTAACTAATTACTGTAAAAATTCAAATATAAATGGTGTGTTTGTAGTTACGAGAACGTAACCATAAAAAAAGGACTGTATAAAGCACTACACTGTTTTTTTCTATTAGTTAATTCGAGACTTGTTTTATAGAGTATCTATGTCCGATGAGAAGAAGAGAGAACCTTTCTAGTTACACAACGTACTTGTCTAGGTGTTTTTAATGGGTGTAAATGGCATGCCGTGCTATCGGAATACACTGGCAGAGTACCAGTGAGAGGTGATAGGTGAGGATAAAAAGACAAGTCAGTTAGTCCATCGTGACGAATGAAATGATAAATAAGTCACGTTAGTTTCCAGGGGGAACCGCGTGGAGGTCGACCTGATAGGGATTTTCGATAGCAATGGGGACTAACTTCCCCATTACTAACTATCCTTTCCCCCGCGCCCCCCTCCCTGTCTAGGTGGTGTTACTATACTATTCAATAATTGTATTAAATAACTTTAGTATCTTGTAGTGTAGTTATTTATTTACCTTGTAAAAACGAGGCACAGTAAGGTGACACATAATATCATCAACTGCTGAGACAGCGCCGATTGAGATTTCTGCATCGCTCGATGGAGGTCATTCTATAAATACACAGGATGAAATGAATTACTTTTTATTTTTTGTTTTATTGTTAGAGAGGCAAACGAGCAGACGGTCCACCTGATGGAAAGTGGCTACCGTCGCCCATGAACACCTGCAACACGGGAGGAGTTGCTTGTGCGTTGCCGGCATTTTTTATATCACGATAATGCCAGTTTTTCAAATGTATATGTTATGTAAGATCACTTGATTTAACTGTTAGTGTTATTGATTTAATTGTAATTGATTCTTAATATATATGCCTATATGTAGCAATTAAAAGTTTTTAGTATCTAACTATTTAGCAGATATATTTATTATACTTAATTGTACCCGTGATAAAGTCCAAATTAATAATAATAAACTTTAATCACAAGTCATGTATGTTACTATTATAATTTTAACTAAGTTCATTAGTTGATAAAAATCACCTACGCGTTAATCTAGGATGTGGCCCGTCTTTCTGTCAAATCTATTCATACGTTTAAGCGCGATAAACGTACTATGAAAACAAAGGCATGGCACGTGTATGTCGGGTGTATTTGGTTCCTCTACATACATACCTATATGTATATACATATAGGTACATAGAATATTAAACCAATATACACAACACGTAAATATCTGTAGTGACCTTGTTTATGCTTTTCGACGAAAGTGCCCGAAACAAAATATTTTGCTTCACAATTCCGACACCTTGTCATAGAGTTAAATAGCATTGTACTTGCGCACTTATTGTGTAAGTTACATACTACAGTGGTCAATCGATTGTACATAAGTAATGTATACAAAGTTTGTGTGTTTTTACTTACAAACATATTCTCCAAAGATCTTTTGGCCAACCAACAATTAAGAAATACCGGTATAAATAGGTTCCGTAGTGGCGGGAAAGGTAGCTGAAAATGTTATTATAATTATTAATTCTTTTTTTCCTTTCTACGTAAAATTTTAATAAATTACATTTGGTGTATTTGTAGTGTTTATACTTACAGTCAACGCGAAAGGTATTGTGTTTACCATCTCTAGTATAAAATGAAAAGACAACACTTGCTGCCAAATGTTTCCCTGTTGGGCAAATAAAAGATGTTATAAAATAATTTTATAGATATAAACATTTCATGTGCATGGAACACGTTAAATATTTTACTCACCTTATAACCTAAATAGGCTAACAATATAGCTTCTGTAAACGAAATCATGGCTAATATGACTTGTACTATCCATAAATATAGGGGTCTGTTGACCCATATTATTCCATCCCAGTTGATTATCGGGTGTTCTTGAAATTCTTCTTCTGTCAAGTTGGCCGAATACTCAAATTCAGTCTTATTGCCTGGTTTACACCCGTAACTGTAATAGAAATAAATGGACATTTATATAAGTGATAATTTGCTAGTTATGAGGACAGACCATTAATAATATTCGAGATAATTTGTATAACTCCATTGCGTTTTCTTTAGGAGATTGAAAAGCTTATTATACGTAGAAGCGTAAACTAAACTAGTGATTTTATAATCGTTTAATATTAATTTCTAGATTGGTAAATAGAGGTAGTTAATTATTATTTTGCCTTGTATTATGTATCTAAAGCTTAAAATATGAATACTAAAAAGATAACATAGTATTTTTCTTTTGTGATTGGAGCTGCAAGTCTCTATCGTTACCGTGTGCCGCTGAAAACGTTACGCGACCTCGAACGTCACGGTAAACGATTTTTGGTGAAAATCTTGTTAACGGTAACTTTATCGAAAACAAATAGGAAATATAGGAAATTGCCTACTACTACTAACGATTTTGGAGAAAATTCGATTTAAAAAGCTATATCGTTTATATTTCTCATGAAGCGAGCACTTTACACGTTGCAAGGTAGAGTATAAGATTACTTATTTAAAGAATTAAAAATCTAATAGCAATAATTATATAATTGTTAAGTAACTCATTTATATATCAAAATATAATATTATATTTGGCACAGACTTTTAAAAGGTGCATATCTTATCATTATTATCATATTTTAGCGGAATTTTTTTCTGATTCTGTTTTTTTTATGTTTTACCTATCCTGCCCCTCACTATAAAATTAAGCCATGATAGATAAGGTTATGGTGAAGTTGATATTAAACAGTCCATTAACTTCCCTCTTTTGGATACAGAGCATTTTATGAAAGTACTCGCAATAGAGAAGTGCACTGATCAGGCGGCATAAGGTTATATTACTTAAGCACTTTTCTTCTTACATATTGGTGTAAAGGATTTTGTTTTCTCAGTCTGGTCTAGTCTTATGATATTTTGGAAATGACAAGAAGTGGTAACACGTTGTATTCTTTCTTTGTCACCATATTCATGAATTATAATTATATATAATATTAGCCATCGGCCTATACTTCTATCTGTTTTAAGTTCACTGAAATCGGTTGTCTTCATTCGTTCAATAAAATAGAAATACTTATTAAACTGGAATTGTTTATAACTTTTCAATACATTTTTTTATTATTTAATGGTTTGTGGTATCTTCTATTTTATTCACAATTATTTTATTATATATAAAATTGGAAAAGCAATTTCTAGGCAGGCTCATTTACACTTATTATAGTAATAACTTAATAATAGTAGATGAGTGTTCCTTTAGAATAACTTTATTAAGAAGACTTGGAAAGTTACAGATATCAAGCAACTTTTTGCGAATTGACTGAGAATATCTTCCGGGATTCGGCAGAGAGAGTGGTAACTGACGTGATTCGATTACCGAAACGTCTGTTTCCCAAACTGACGTTTGGAACGAATTGGTAGAGTAGCAACTATTATTGTCTAAAGAAAACTTGTTAAGGCTATATGAAATAGATGCTTTAAATAGTATCTGGGTTTGCTTACTACTGTCATTCTTTTCCCTATTTTCACGTGTATACTTGAAGTATCAGTCTAGAATATAATATTTAAAACATTGAGTTTTTGCAACATTCAAAATCAAGTAAAGTAAATAATTTATTAAAGTGTAACATTTTTGTTATTTATTCTTAAGTTATTTATCCCTACCGTTCAGTTCAATAATTCGTATCAGCAGAGACGATAACTATACTAATAACAAAGATAAAGATAATAACAAAGAAGATAACGTTACTATATACTAATAGTATTTATTGGTAAATTAAAATTTAATTTAGTTCCTTTAGATACAAATTTATTATCAAAGTATTTATTTATGCAATGTAGATATTATAATAGTACGCTATGAAGGTTTAGGTAACTTTATAAAGTTGCAGGAACTCTTTCTATTTATCAGACCGAGAATGAATCAAGACTGCCATTATGGCGTGAATTCGGCCTAAAGCTCTTCGGTGTGTCGTGAATTTTGTTCATTTTTGTGTATTTTGTTTGTAAACTAGAAGCATTTATCATTATGAATGGAATATCTAACTTTGATATCCCTCTAGCCGTTGCGTATTGTTAGGTTGTATCCGCTCTTGCGTGTCCTATCACAAATTCGTGCCCCATTGTATCCACGAAATGCTCGAGTCAAGAAGGCAGGATTTTTTTTACTTTGAGTATTGAATGAGGGATATTTCTTATTGTTTGTTATTATTATTTTTAATAACTCACCAAGAGGCAGAAATAGGGTCTCCATCAGCACAGACGCGGCATATATACAACACGCAGGCCAAAAGTTTGAAAAATAAGTTCGCTATCCTAATGCGTAAACCTGAAACAAAAATAAAATATCCATAATATTGGTCCATATGTATTTGCCAAATATTAATATTTTAGTTTAATAACGACCGCATTAACTTTCGTGTATTTTATCCGAGAGAGGTCGTGACCGTATAAGGTGTTTGCAAAAAATATTTTCCATAGAATTGAGTTACAGTATTTAAGGTATTCTGTCCTTGCTATTGGATATGGGTAACGGGATGTTTATAGAAGATGGCACATGGTGTGTTAAATAGTAATTTAGGCGCGATATTTGAAGAGCATGAGGAAAATTAATGAATGGCCAAAGACTGCAGCAAATGAGTATGTAGTCGGCCTCCAAACTTGTAATCTCTGCAGTCTACCTGTTCCCAATTCAAGGGACGACCGATCGTCAGCCGTAAGATATGACGCAGGGCATCTATGAAGGCACAACAATAGAAACAATAGAATCACGCTAATGCTAGATAAGTAACAATCGATTGAATAGGCTGGTTCTAGGCAAGCGTTCTTAACTATACATCATATCTGAACGGTTAAAAACTACTAGAAATATAGAATGAATATAACCATTTATATTGCCTTCATAGATTATGCCAAGGCTTTCGATAGTATAAAGCATGAATACATATGGGAGATCTTAAAACAGCATGAAATATCAACAGTTCACGATTATATCAACACCATAAAAACTATTTACTCGAATAGCAAGACTAGAATGCAGTTAGAGTCATTGGGTAGTAAATTCAACATAGAAGAATATTACAACATAGAAGAATATTACAACATAGAAGAGTCATGGGAACCTCCTTTTATCTAAAATATAAAAAAAAATCAATTACCGAAAAAAAAAAGTTCCTAAAATATTTTTTTTTAAATTGGACTGGGAAAATTTTATCTTGAATATATACAGGTCTAAAAAGAACTACATTAAATGCGCAGACGGCTTAGATTTCTTCAAACAGAAATCCAATTTCTTCAAAAAGAAACAATGATTTAAGGGCTAAACAATTAGAGTCTATAATTTGGATTAAAAATAAATGCCAATAAAATGAAAGTAATAACCAATCCCATGTAGAAGAGCATCAAAATCTTTAATATGCTAAACACTACATATACATAGGACATATTATCTCTACCGAGAAACTTTAAAATAGATACATTTGAGAGTGACTACCGGATAAAAATAATACTGGACTCTAAAAGAAATAATGAAGTCTAAGATCTAGGAATGACAATAAAAAGAAAGACCTTTAATACCTGCATACTACCATGTCTAACTTATGACTGTGAAATTTGGGTTTTGATCAAATCTCTTAGAGCAAAACTAACTGCCTGTCAAAGAGCACTGGAGACAAGACAAGATTTGGTTAGGAGTACTGTCTTTAAGTCGAAAACAAAAGTAACTGATATCTTGACAAGGATTAACAAGCAAAAGTGGCGATGGCCTGGTCACATGATGAAAGTACAAGGGATAAAAAGACAGAAAATGAAATGGGAAGACGATTTTAAGTTGACTGTGAGCGCAAAATGAAGAAGGGTTGCAAATGATAGAAGCCAGTGAAAAATATTGGAGGAGGCCAATGCTACAAGGCACACTGAAATTAGAGATATACTATGATAAATGATAGCTTTAAGTACAATATACATGTAAATGCTAATCTCGCTTTATTATAATTATTATAAAATTGTAAACACTTTTTCAGTTTAGAAATGGCGAATGGCACTGTGAATGTTTAAAAATTGCTGTATCCATTTCAGCTGTTATTATTTAATTTTCATCGTGCAATTTTCATTCAATTTAAAACCACATACTTTGTTTTTATATACTAGTTATTTATACACTAGTTATTTATTTATTGATTGCTACCGCAATACAGGATCGACTGTGTTGTGTTGACATAATATTACATAAGTCCATTAGTTTATTAATTGGATTGAATATACACCTACGTCAATATAAATATCCCTTTAAGGGATAAGTCTTCTTGTGTACTACCTAATATCTATATTAAAAGTGAATGTTCAAATACATATAAATAAATAAAATAATACAGTAAGTTGGTACGTACAAATAGTGAGGTGCCGAGTCGGCCTATTTTGGTATTTTAGGATTTTTGTATTGATAAAAAAGATTCCTGACTCGACTCTAACGACTCGGGTTGCTTGAGTATTTGTATGGGTAATCGTGTACTTCTTCAGACTCGAATATTTTTTTTAATTGATTTCTGAAGTTTACTTTTAATGAAGATAATAAATGTTCAGATATTTTATAATTTTTGGTAATGAAGGCCTTTGGTAATTAAGAAAACAGTTACCATGAAATATAAATAAAAACTTACAATAAATATGCAGTAAGTATTCAAGTGTCAGAAGTGTTCGAATCTTGTATTCAAGTATCCTATATCCAAATTTCTTATATTGAGTTTTCAAGTACCTGAGTACCCAGTAGGTATTCAAGTCAGCCTGAGTCGGCAAGTCACTATTTACGAGTAATATATAAAAACCCATGTCAAGATGCTCGTTCACGCTGCTCTCTAAAACCGTCCAACCGATTTTAATAAAATTTTATGTATGTTGTTTGCGCCAAATTAAAACATAAAATAGTTTTACTTCGACAAGAAAAAATGGACTCAATAGGTGGAAATGTTTTTCGGGTTAGCTAATCTTATTTTACTAATATAATAAAATATTAATTAAACTATAAATGTATATGAGAGACGTTTAAAAATATTGATATTCAAGGTCTTAATAAGAAGCAAAGAAATTAACGTGATAATTATATAAAAAAAATATCTCTTTGTCTGTCGGTATGATTGTTCCGACATCACGCAAAAACGTACAATTGGATGTAGTTTTCATAGTTGTAATATGAAGGTCTAAATAAAAAACTAAGTAGGTAAGAACGAATTTAGAAGTAACCAGCAAAAGCTAATAGTTATATAAAATACACTAAAAGCGTGAAACATTTCCTTCGGGGTATTGTTGTAGTGGTTCGTTCATTATTACACAGTGAAATGAATTCCATGAATAATGCATTTTTGTGGATTCAAAATTATTAAAAGTATTCAACTGTACTGTATTCAAGTAAAATGTAGAAAAAGTTTCGTTTAATTAAATAACGTGTCCATTGTAACTAATTATAAAAACATGTAGCAATATATAAATGATTAATTTATATAATACACACGCAGGTAACTTTAACTGTTGTTGTTTAAATCATCATTATTTTGATGTGTTAGGGGCCGTGATAATTTGGTGTAGGGGTGTGAAAGTACATTATTATACTGATATACGTAATATTTGATGCTGACCACGTACATCTATAGTTATGTGATGAGTACATCAATACATGTTGTGGTCACTGTTTGTTTGATTCAATTAAGTAACCCACTATTGTCCTACTGCTGGGAACGGGTCTCTCCTCGTGAAGGGAGAGTATTAGCACAGTTTAAAATCCTCACCTACAAGTGGTTTAATAGACACGGCAACACAGATTTATAAGTTTCTAATTATCATGTAATCGTTTGGGGCATTCCAAAGACGTTGAATTATTGGTTATTCTTTATATATTAAAGAATAACCAGTATTAATATACTAACATATTACATCCATATCTGCTAGTCATATTTTTTTTTTTATATTTTTCTTCACTTGCCTTGTTTGTTGGATTGTTCTGTGTTCCTCTAATAACCTCTTACGTCCTATAGTTAAAAAAGGGATAGCAATACATTATATTCTCACTTCATTACCATACGGAGATCAGGATGAATGAATCAGCTCAATGGAATGAAATCAATAGAAATATATAATACCTCATGGTTGTGAGGAATTATATATTTCTATCACCAACTCAACATATATTTAGTTTTATCAATGTTCATGTTTAATTTGATAATAAATCTTCTTCTGCATCAAATATTTTGAAAATATCGTTTAAAATTCTATTTTTACCAATTCTATAGATATTTGTAATATTTCGTTTAGTATAAATTCAAATAAGCTATTTCGAGCCTTTTTAGTATTATAAGAAAGATTGAAGTTTCTGTGGGAAGTTGAGATTACATTTTAGGTGACCTAAAGAGACTACTTTTAAAATAGGAAATTGTTAATCGTTCCTGTATTATATTTGCTTAGCCTTAATTTACTAGTGTGAAATTAGAGCAGGTAAATTTCAGAGGTCAGTTAGTAGTTATTTAAATTGTTTCAGTTCGATTTTCGTTATAAATTGTTAGAATAGTCAATGTGCAGAAAACGAACTCTTTTTTTGTATCGAAACCCAAAGTTTCAAGGCAGAGTTTTTTTCTCTTTAAGTTCTCTGTGGCCGACTTGAAAACGAAGAACATATAAATATAGTACTTATACTTACTCGATCGTTGATTTTTTATAAAATATAGTTGCAGTCTTTCTTTGAAAGTATTCTCGTTCACATAATACTCCACTCGTACTCTGAAACAAACCACAAGAGACACATTATTTACTGTGGCATACAGTAGGTATAAATACCACAATGCATTGTCGGACTCTATATCGATTCAAATCTATTTTCGATACCAAAGTCATCACGCTCCATTCATACTATTAATGCAGTACTTAATGCAAAAGAACGTCATCTATTTCAATAGTAGGACTAAATTATAGTAGAATATTAGTATGTTTACTAAAGTTTTAAAGGCTTTTAACTATTTATATTATACAAGGTGATGTTGCGGCTTTTTCTGCGCGTTCACAAATAAATAAAATATAGATAAAAAAGAATTGTATATTTGTTTTGATCTAAAATTTTCTTCATATGTTCATAAAAACGTAGACTCTTTCTCATTTTTACACGGACGCTTTCTTTTAAATCAACTTGTTTTGTACTACTGTAAAATCTGCGCGATGCTCACCTTTCCACTGCATTTTAGTTTTTCTTACATTGCACTACAATGCGGGGACAATTATGAAATTCTATATGGTTAATTGCCCCTTTTACGCTTTAGTTGGTTTAATTGTGGCTCTTACATTAATAATTGTTATATAAAATTTGTCATGTAAAATTTGTTACATGTTTAAGTGTATCAAGTTTAATAATCAGCTGTGCTAAATAAAATCTAACAGATCATGCCATTCGTGGTGTACTTTGTCTTTCCGTTTATTTAATATTATATTAATTAATTAATTATATTAATAGATTATAACATGCATAAAGATAAATATTAAGTAATGTAATTTATTGCTTTAGATTGCCTTTTTGGAGATTTTTTTTATAAATTCTCAAATACCGTAGTAATTAGAAATATCGTTTTATTTTTCCAATAATATTCTTGTGTACTTTATATCAGTTATTTTAGATTTTTGCTTGTAAAACTTCGACGATAAGTAGTGGGGGATGGTTCCTACATTCTGGATTATAAGTCAACAATTGATTGGTCTTTAAATATTTAAATTTTATTACTTTCTTTTTCAAAATCTGGTACAAAGTGATACCGTACATTCATATGTTTGATCTGCTACAGTTGTACTGGGTTGTTTGCTATCGCTATAGCAAATTGATCAGTGTGAATCGTTATAGACAATTCTCCCTTATTCTTCATTTCCTTCTCAAATGTTTTCTACATTTAAGAAATATTTAATAAAATCAAAATCTTTAGCAGCTTCTTTATCAGAAGCTGTCTGACATACTCAGTCTCGGCATTTGATACAGCATCACAAGAAGTGTTGTTATTTTATGCTTTCCCAGAATACAGCTCTGATATCTTCTTGAAGATATTTTACGAATATGACTTCCTATCAGTGAAATCATGAGCATGATTAGTGTTACAGAAACCTTGAACAGTTTCGCTTGCATACTAGTCCTAAATTACCTTTGAGGTACAAGCAAGTACTTGTATCTCAGAATCCTCTTTGTGGTTGTTCAATGAATGTCCAGTGAAGTTGAAGATATAAATTTTGTATATAGAATTAGGATATAAGTTCGTAATTGTTTATAAATCTGTATGTATAAGACCGCAAAGCTGCAGACTGCAAAGCAGTTTCACGGCACTAAGAATATGTTTTGTCTATATAACTGTTTACTTGTAATAAATAAATAAAAAAAAGTCCAACATTAATGTCTCATTTTATATCCATTTGCACAATATACATCTATTTATTTATTTGCCTCTCTATGCCATTATATTTTTACATATGCAAGAGTAAATGCATGGCTATACATTCACTTTTTTTATTACATCTCAAATGTGTAATACTCCAGAATCTATGATCTATGTTTCATCACATTCTGTTGATTCATACTGGATGGTATGGTATCTTTTGACAAAAATATTATCTGCAATTGTCTTTTATACTTAGTAGTTGGTAATTGTTAATTGTCGTTGATACCATTAGTACAAACTAATAACTGAATGACTTATAAGTCAATTTAATACATTTGTTTGCCGTTTTCTTTTATGTGCCTGCAATAGTATTCAGATTCTTAGAAAATACCGAATCTGAGTCTCAACATTAAATTGCATAATTTAACAGATTCAACAACGGAATTAAACAGATGTCACAAATATAAAATGCAGTAAAGTTCTATCAACAAAAATAACAAACTATGTATTAAAACAAACGATTAAAACTTTTACAATTAATTAAGTTCGGTTTGGCTATCAGGTTGGCTAATAGAAAACATAAACGAGGTCATTTCAGATTCAATTTTGCGAATAATAAATAATATTATAGAAGGTATAGATACCTATTATTGTGTTTTTTACTTTATTAGGCAGTAGATCCATGACGAAGAACGACCTTCTTGCTCTTATACTCCTCTTCACGGAACAGAATTTATTAAGAGTTCAAGCTCTTGCCAAATGTAGGGTGAGTGAACGCTTTTGATTTCTTTTATGACATATATATGTAGAATGCACTGTTTATACATATGTACTGGAATGGTACGTACTGACAGTAGATATATTTTTAGTTGCTTCGTTTGTGAAATGTCTTTCATGGCTGTTCTTATTATCTTTGATTCAGATTTTAGGCAATTAGCAGGAGAGATCTTCAGCAAGAAACTATTAGAGGTATGTTTGGACATTTTATTTCTTTAATAACAAATGGTCAAAAAAGAGAATCTGTTCATACCTCCTATCATTAATTATTTTATCTCGTAGTTACTTCAAGCTATTATGTCATAATATCGATATCAAATGAAATGTGACGATTAGTATATCCACTTATAAGAAAATTTGAATGTCATATATACTTATAGAATTCAATAAATTTTGAAATTTTTGTTTTTTAAAGAACCCGTGTCTAAAAATTTACAAGTTTGCGTGTGTATAAATCATGATACTTTAGTTTTTATAGGTCCCAAGTGCTTAAGTTTTATGACGGAAATGGTGAAGAATGACGTTATGCTAGAATAAAATTTATGAAGGACCAAAGGAGTGATTCAAGCCATTTAGAAGTCTAAACGCATTTTATTCGTTTTCATATCTTGTATCAACCTTCCAATGTAGTAAGATAAAAATATATTTTTGTTTGGAAGACAGAAAAATATATCTAAAGGAACAATTGATTTCTATTATAAATTATACCTATTACTTGCAAGGTCATAAAATGTCCTAATTTATTTGTACATGGTTATTGAAACTATTATTTTTCAAAATTAAACTATTATTTTTCTAAATATTCGTTGACATCTCTCTCATCAGTTAATCAAATGACTATAGTGGATCGCCGATGAGGCCTTTCTTCGCGATTGAGGTCTTTGCAATGTGACTCCATCTACTTCTGGTCACAGCTGAGCGAGAGCATTTCACAATAAGTGTAGCTTCTATGTGGCCGTTTTAATGAGATCAATCCATCGCGATGGTGATTTACCTCGAGAACGTTTACCATTTATTCCATTCATATTCGTTGATAAAATATAACAAATTTTTCACATTTACAGACAGAAGAAAAAAAAGCCTTCTATTTTTATTATAATATTTATACCCTGGACATGTCACGCATGTCGTAATTAATAATGTATGTAGGACGAATAACAATTTCTTCTTTTCTATTTAGTTCAATTGTTTTAATTAGAAATTATTTCGGATGCCAGAAGTATGAGTGTAGCATTGGATTTGGCCTTACACGAATTTGGAGGTTGTATTAAAGACATTTTAAGCGGTGAGTTACCGCCATATATAGTTACTGACTGCAACCTATGAGCTCATAGGTAAGAACAAACGCACTTTACAAATTGATATAAAATCTCTTGTAGATAGTAAAATAACTAAGTCGTTCGTGTGTCGTCGTTGAGATATTACTTAGATTTTTTAATACGAGCCTAATCCGTAGTGATTGATGAAAGTTATTTATATAATTATATTTATTTAGATTATATGATAATGATTCGATATCGTGACGTAAGAATTACATTAAATCCAGAATGCCTTATAGTAGTTAAATGAATCGGGTAAATGCATTAAAATTAACAATATAACCAATTACCGGCTATTAAAGTAATAGCATAGGAAATTATTTAATAGTATATTAATATTAATGGTATTAAAGGGTTTCCGTATCACTTAGAAAAATGGAAATATGTACGTTACACTTATGCCATTATTAAAATGACTATAAATCGTAAAGTTAACTAAAAGTTAGTAATATATTCATTATTGCTTATTATTACAGTTGATAGGGGTTAATTGAATAAAAATGTTTCAGGGGTGTCCCTTCTAGAGATGTGTCCGGTGTTAGAGCTGTAGTTGCTTGTATTATCTCAAATAGTATTTCAGTGATTGTACTAGAACGGTGGCAAAAAATGTCTTGCGAGAAACTAAAAGGGTGTGACAGTGAGAAAAGAGAATACATGGTAGTGAAATGAGGAGATATAAAAGGTGATGAAAGAAAAAAAAATGCTTTTTAGGAGGACAGGAGAAGAGAAAAAGATTATCTATAAAGAATGGAAGAAAAAGCTAAAAGAGCGGTAATAGAATCGAGAGCTAAGTCCCGAAACCGCATATATAGGGCTCTTAAAGGTCTTATTTGTCATGAGGAACTTTACTGTATTACAGAATGGAGAGAAGCGAGAAAAGCAAAGTTATTGCGCATGTAAAATATATTAAAGACAATTTTAATACATAATATTACAGGGTAGATTTTAAAGAAAGATGATGATACTAAATCTTAATATATACTTGGAAAACTTATGAAAGAAGAAAATGTTTGGACTAATGAATTAAAAGATGAATTAGTGAATATAGACTTAGCAAACGAGATTAGTATGAATGAAGTAATAAAAGCACTAAAAGATATAAATGTGAATGGTTATAAGTGCAGAGGAAGATTCTAAAAGAAATGGATGGACTGTGAAAGATGACATGGGTAGAAAGGGAGTGACTAGTGAGATGACTGCAAATAGAAACGAATGGAAGAAGAAAACATATAACGCCGACCCGAAATAGATATGGAAAAAGGACAGGTAGAAGATA